ATAAAGTTAAAACAGCAGAAAATGGATACTCAGCCACCGGAAGCGAGAGAAGAACAAAAGCGACGAAGACCGTTACTTCGTAAATCCAATCTAAAAACGGGACCGAGTGAAATTTAAAACAAACAATATATATACATAGAGACTCATTAATCATTTTTTTTTGTAAAGTATTTTAGTATTTTTATTAATAATTATTCAGGTGCGAAGCCACAGTCGGGATACTGAACACCCGAAGCAACGTTTGGTACACTTCCAGTCGGTACATTTCTGTTCTCACCACTTGATTCACTAGCTGTATCTGTTGATTCACTATCTTTTATAACCAAAACGCCATCCTTTTCTTGTAAATGTTTCAACTCGAGACCCCGAAGTGCGAAAAAGGAAACGATGTTTTTAGCGACAAATTGTAATCTTATCATCAGATGGTCTGAGCCATCTAAGTGTTCTCCAGTCTCACAAAGATTTAAGCCGGCAGCTAAAGCAGGACAAGCAATCACCAAATCATTTACGGTGGATGTATCTCCGCGTTGCCAATTAGGCTGAAATCTGTTCAGCACCACCATTTGTCGATGCTCAACGTGCTCATGAATAAAATTACCTTTATTCTTTTTAAGTCGGGATTGGCAATTTTCACGTGACCAAGAAGGATGGTATGAATTAAAATCGCCCATAATAAGCATGAGAACATCTTTGGGATGAGTATCACGTAAAGCGAATATGGAATTAATGGTGGATTGAAAATCGTCATCACTTAATTTACTCTGATTTGGTGACAGATAAGCCAAGACAATTAACAATCTGAAATTACACCAAAGAGTCTTGATCACAACCCAATGAGAATTAATTTTATGTGTTGCTCGGAACTCGAATCCATCACTATCTCGACAAAGCAAAGCACAACAAGTATTGTCAAGAGAATTTATCACATTTTGTTGATAACAATTGGAGTAAACTTCACGATTAACGACTTCAGTAAAACATCCAATGTCAGTTAATTCGCTTTCACATCGATTGTACAATAACTCAGTGGCTCGACTAATACGAGCACAATTACCATATAAAATATCCAAAGGGTTAATTATTTGCACCATCGTTAAACAGAAATCAAATCAGCAAATGCATCATTCTAAATGAAAGACCATTTAAATGCAAATTTATTTTACTGCTGCTCCTCCGAAGGGACTTTAAATGAATATAAATGCAACGCTGATGGTAAGCCATTTGTGTACAAACTACCGCAGATTGAACATCAAGCAAAGTTTTATCAACAGTAATAAATAACCAAAGGACCTTTTGTAAAACTGTGCGTAACAAAAATAATCATCAATAGTAATCAATATGTCTCAACAAGATCAAGAGGAATGGGTACCAGTTCCAATTGTAAATAATACCTTTGAACGTCTAATGTTTGACGATGAAGATGTACCGCCACCGTCCATTATTGAGTTTAATCAACCATTTCGTACTCTTATACGACCTTGTGTTAATTGTGCCAGTGAAGATGCAGTAAAAAGAGAAATTCGAACAATAACCATGGAAAATCAACCCGACGAATCACAATTTTGCGATCAACAAACAATTAAAGACTACATCTGTGTTATTTGTCTAAATCTTCCAGATCCAAAATCCACGCATCAAAACTGTAAAACTATTTTAGCGACAACTGTTGGGATATTTAAAAAGATCAACCGGCATAAGCCCACATGTCCACTTAAATGTTCAACAAGCCGTTTTACCCCAGCTTTTCTACCATCTAAAGGCCCACGATCCTGGCAACAATTAAACAACTTATTATTAAATGTAAATTTGTCCGAAATGTACGCAACAATGAAGTACAAAAACTACGCGAAACATGTCAACACCTGTAAAGCAAAACCAAAGGACATTAGTAAAATCAAGAGTAAAAAGGACAGTGACAGAGAAAAATTCACGCGAACGGTATCGTTGAAAATCACAATTCAAGACTCTAATTCGTTATAACCTTTATAGTTCATACTTTTCATTTTTACCATTTTTCTATTTATTTTCTTTGATTCTAATAAGTTTGAATACTACTATTCATACTTTTCATCTTTAACCAATTTTCATTATTTTCTCGTATTCTAATAAGTTTGAGTACTAATACTCATACTTTTCATTTTTAACCAATTTTCATTATTTTCTCGTATTCTAATAAGTTTGAACTAATAACATACTTTCTTTTTAACCAATTTTCATTATTTTCTCGTATTCTAATAAGTTTGAATACTAATACCATACTTTCTTATTTTAAACCAATTTTCATTATTTTCTCATTCTAATAAGTTTGAATACTAATACTCATACTTTTCATTTTAACCAATTTTCATTATTTTCTCGTATTCTAATAAGTTTGAGTACTAATACTCATACTTTTCATTTTAACCAATTTTCATTATTTTCGTATTCTAATAAGTTTGAGTACTAATACTCATACTTTTCATTTTTAACCAATTTTCATTATTTTCTCGTATTCTAATAAGTTTGAATACTAATACTCATACTTTTCATTTTTAACCAATTTTCATTATTTTATCGTATTCTAATAAGTTTGAATACTAATACTCATACTTTTCATTTTTAACCAATTTTCATTATTTTCTCGTATTCTAATAAGTTTGAGTACTAATACTCATACTTTTCATTTTTAACCAATTTTCATTATTTTCTCGTATTCTAATAAGTTTGAGTACTAATACTCATACTTTTCATTTTTAACCAATTTTCATTATTTTCTCGTTTTCTAATAAGTTTGAGTACTAATACCCATACCTTTAATGTAAACAAAGGTCAAAGTTACAAAAAAAAAAAGATTTTTCATTTATTCAAACAGAAGAAAAGTAATTTGATCAAATACAAAAAAAAAAGAAGAATTACAATTTTTTCTTGGGTCGACCTTTTTTTCCTGATAAATTTCCCTTATGAGCATCAGGAATAAGGAAAAATTTCCCTGTGCCCTTACAGTTCGGTGGACATTGTTCACATTTGTGTCCGGGACCGCCCGGGATTTTACATTTCCGCTCGTGCTTATATTCATTGCTACGGGAAGTTGTTGAAACCTTACACCAACGACAGCGGTAATCATAAGCGGAAAGCTTAAGATCCTCGGGATTTTCACAATCAACCAATTCCTTATAATTTTCTGGCAAACCTTGGGGTATATCACCATCCCAACGAACATTTTTTGGATGATTCAATGTTGGATGGTACTCAACAACAAGTCTAAAGTCTTCAGGTCTTCGCCTGGGATCGATATATCCAGATCCAAGTATGCCTTTATATCGTATTCGCCATTAGAGCTTGATCGAACCTGAAGGAGACTCATCATCATCACTGGAATCGACCTCCCCGTCAATAATCGTATCATCATCGGAATCTTCTACTGGAGGCTCAGGTAAATTGTCGGGAACAGGATCAATTAAAGTGGTTAATCGCCCATTATCATGAATCGGTGAACGACTACGGTCCCTATTAGGTGGATGGTTCTCAATCGAGGAATTAGAATTGTCACTGGTGTTGACAATATCCTTTCTAGGAGCCAATGCTAAAGGCATACAAGATGCAGAATGTGTTGACGAACGTTGGTTAAGGGAAGCACGAACAGTTGATTTAGTTCTAGCCATTGTTATTAACAAAAGAAAGAAAATTGATGAATTGTAACAAAAGGAAAGAGTAACTCAAATTCGATGCGGAGCATTAATGACAATGGACAGGAAAATGTCACACTTAAATATCATCTTTTGTCTTAATCCTAAAACTGACCAATAGTATTCCGTTGTGAGTTAAACACCAAAACTAACCTAACGAGAATCACCCTGGGATATAAAAGATTAACTTTATAACCCAAGGATCATTATCATCTTAAGTATTGTACTGAGCTTAAGTCTTAAAACCCACTTTTGAAATAAATTGTTTATCCTCATCTTTATTTTGGACCAACTTTTCATTTTCAACTCAAAGAGTTGTTACAATATTAACAAAACTGATATTTTAGCGACAGAGAGTAAGAAATAGAGGAAAAAGGGCAAAAACATGAAAAATGTTCTTATTCAGTATTCATGGTGATAATAAGTCGGCACCAGAATGTCGATATACCGATAATAACGCCCATCACTAGTCTTACGATAAGTGGAGAACTGGATTTATAATAATAAATTAGAAGGGTGAAGACAATGAGTATCATTGTTATTGGAATCAAGTATCATCAACCATCTCAATTGTTGATTGTTTCGAGAAATTCAATAATTTTGATTGTATTTTTATACTTTGATCAAACTGGTTGTTGATTAATGTCCATTAACTATAATGATCTTCCAATGAACTTAATAATTACCTTTGCAATCGATCAGATCTTCTAGTATTAATTGTAACAAGATAATATGATAAGTTACATTAACTCTTAAAGTTAAATGATCAACGGAAAGAATTAGTAAACACATGATCATTTAAATCGCTCAGATGATAAATTGATTTAATATTAATATTAAAAATATAATATTATTAAAAAATAGAGTAAAATGCAAAAAGTATTTGGTTTGGACATTCGTAGTAATTAAACAATTATCACAAAAATCATCTAATTTCAATCATACGATTTCCATTCAGAAGGGTTTAAATTGTATGATGAGCGTAAAATTTGAATTAGTTTTCGGTAATTAGAACAAAACGCTTTTTGCGAATTCGAAATGGCCAAAGTCATTTTCTTTCTAGTTTGGCGAAATCGGTGATAAAATCGAACAATTCAATGAATAATTAAGATAAAGTTCCACACGACAACGAGGTCCAACTTCATAGTAATATGATAACGAATTCGTATTATTAATAGAAAACAATCAAATGGGAAGAGGAAAAAGAATAAAACAATTGCTATTATCTCGATAGTTAATTACAATTAAATGTTACATTTCATCATTTCGCTCACTCATTCAATTAGTTAATTGTTTTCAATTAAATTTTCTCTCTCACTACAATTAATTCTCACTTTTTCATCGCTCGTATAAAAGTGATTCTCATAGAATCATTCACTCCAACTTGAACAGTTTCTTGTCCAGTTTTAATCAGTTAATCACGAACAATGAAGTTAATTGCTTTACTTTTAATCTGTGCATTCGCCTACGGTGCCAATGCATTCAAACCAGTGTCAGTTAGTTTGAAAAAGTTTGGAGACTCGAAACTTAATTTACTTCGACCCGAATTCAATAACCTTGTTTCACGACAATTGGCCGTAAAGTATAGCGCTAACCCGACAGCGGTCTCAGAGCCATTGACTAATTTCCTCGGTGAGTATTTCGTTCCCATCCTTTGCTTACTATCAAACAATAGTTTATATGGCCAATGGCTTGACAATTAATTCACTTGATCATATCTACTGTGCAAATATTTGTCTCCAACCTGAGCTAGACCATGTTAATCACTACCTGCTTTAATAGCACAATTTAGTTGATTACTTTTAGCAAAATCATGATATTCAATAGTTATTTTCATGATCAGTGTTTCCTCTGATCTAATTAGAGAATTGAATTTTATTAGATTTTATTACATTGTGTCTGAAACATGACGATGGAAAAACCAACTTTCATTCGAATAAAATAAACTAACCAACCATTAAAATGACCTTAATAGTTGATTACCTAATTTTCATTAATTAATTTGCTTAATTATCCAGACACTCAATATTTCGGCGAGATTTCAATCGGTACTCCTGGACAGAAATTCAAAGTCATCTTCGACACTGGATCATCCAACCTTTGGGTACCTTCGTCGAAATGTAAATGGACCAACATCGCTTGTCTTTTACACAATAAATATAATTCAGCAAAAAGCAGCACTTATCAGGCCAATGGAACGGAACTTGAAATAACTTATGGCTCAGGATCTATGACTGGATTCCTATCGAAAGATATTGTTTCAATCGGTAAATAAATCTGAGAAAGACAATTGTCTTTTCTAATCTACTCTCTTTGTGCCAATAAACAATAGCATGTTGATTGGGAATTGTTCAGATTGACTGTTCAAAGTCAATCAGTCCAAAGGTTTTGTACTGATAATGTAATATTGTAACACGATGAACCGAAACTTTGAGACGAAGTTTAATTCTTATATCTCCCAAACTGATTGACTAATTTTTCAATTATTTTGAATTAATTTAAAATTGAACAAATGAAAATTTCAAGATAAATCAAAGGGCAGCATTTAAATTTTGTGTTCGAAATAGTTATTATTATTACTTGATGCAATTAAGTTTCATTCTCACAATGGTTAATTTATTGTTTTTATTTTAGGCGATCTTGTGGTAAAAGATCAACTTTTTGGTGAAGCCAAGACCGAACCCGCTTTGACTTTCGTACTCGCTCGATTCGATGGTATCTTGGGTCTCGGATTCAGATCAATCGCCGTCGATGGAGTTGCAACAGTCTTCGATAATGCAGTCGCTCAAGGCCTTCTTCCTGCCCCCGTGTTTTCATTTTATCTTAATCGAGATGCTTCCGGTTCAGTAGGCGGTGAGGTCCTTTTCGGAGGCATCAATGAAAACTATTACACTGGACCAATCAACTATGTGCCTTTGACCAATGAAACTTATTGGCAAATCGCAATCGATGATATTTCTTCCGTTAATGATTTATCAATTGATTGTACAAGAGGTTGCAAGGGTATTGTCGACACTGGCACTTCATTGATTGCTGGTCCAACCGCTTCAATCGATCAAATTCAATCATACATCGGCGCTGAAAAAATCATCGGAGGTCAATACGTTGTCTCATGTGACGCAATCGATACTCTTCCTGATGTTACTTTCACCATCGCCGGCAACAAATACACTCTAACGGGCAGAGATTACGTCGTATCAATAAGCCAAATGGGTCAAAGTATTTGCATTTCCGGTTTCATGGGAATCGAAGTTCCTGCTGGTCCTTGTGGATTCTTGGTGACATTTTCATTGGTAAATATTATACTGTTTTCGATCAAGGAAACAAACAAATCGGTTTTGCTCAAGCAAAATAAGTTGTTGAAATTACTCATTTGTTTTATCATTTAAATTGAACTCAAATATAAAATCTATTGTATCGTAATTTGAATGATTAAAATTTGATTTAAAATAAATTTCAATTTAATATTGATTTCATGGAGAAATGAATTTCTCCTTCCTCAACTCTTTAACTGTTCACAATTAGTTTTTATGGCTTTTGATTAGACCAACAACGAAATGAAATATCTTACTAGTAAATTTCTTGCAATATTATTGTTCGGTAAATATATTCAATTTTGATGCTTGAAATCAATTGAACGAGGAAACGATAATCAATGAGAGAAAATTTTGAAGTTCAAATAATCATATAAAAATCGAATTGTGTATCATCCTGAATATGAGAATTTATCCAAAAAAAGCATTACTTGTCAAGTTCTATTATTGAAATGACTGCAATTATCATTTATTATTTAGTTCAGACAATTAAGATTAGACAAAAATTGTGAAAAAATTGTTGAGATTAAATCAATTTGATTTAATCAAATTGAAGAGTTTATCTATCATCAGTTATGGAGAAAGGCCTTTTGAAATTCGCGGTTCAAAAAATGAATAAAATGTTCTGTTTCCATGGTAACCATTCAAACAAAATGCTTTTCCGTTTCCTTTGCTTTTCAATAGTGTAATGAGCTACAAGCTTATTTCATTTATTTTAATTTGTATTCACTTATAATTTAATTTGATTTGTTTTGTTAGGATTGTTAATTTAATACCAAAATGAAGTAAGTAATCATTGTCTTTGTTGTTCCAAGAATCTTTTCTAAACATTTCTCTTGTTTCATCTCATCATCAGGTTGGAACTTTGTTCTTACAGTGGCTACAAAATCTATCCCGGTCATGGGAAAAAGATGGTCAAAACTGATGGAAAGGTAAGACTTTTTTTTTATCTAACTCAATGTTTCTGTTATTGTGCTTTTATTAATCTGCTTTTGTTATTTATTTTATCCTGTGTATTTAGGTTTTCACCTTTTTGAACACAAAATGTGAATCTTCTCATCTAATGAAAAGGAATCCACGTAAGGTTACATGGACAGTCCTTTACCGTCGTAAACATAGGAAAGGTATTGAAGAGGAAACTCAAAAGAAAAAGACCAGAAGGACAACCAAGTTTCAAAGGGCTTTCGTTGGAGCTTCACTCACCGACATCATGGCTAAAAGAAACATGAAGCCAGAGGTGAGAAAAGCTCAAAGAGAACAAGCGATCAGAGCTGCTAAGGAGAAACAACGAGCAACCAAAGCCAAGAAAGCGCCCCCTCCACAGACCAAGGGCAAAGGCAAGACTAAGGCTGTCAAACAACCTGCACAACAAAAACAAAGAGTTGGTGGCAAACGGTAGACATTAACAACTTACGATCTAAACCCTCGCTTGTTGATAAGTTTTGTATGGTAAAAATTATCACCTCTTGATCCAAATAAATGATTTATCTGATCTGCACTTTGAGAGCCACCAATGAATTTCTGTACTCTATCAATTTATTACTATTACGACGGTTCTTGTTTAATTAAATTGAGATTTGCTCCGGTTCATTACAGTAAATATCTCAAGTGAATCCATTTCCCATACTGAATATTAATTGAACCTGAATCCGTGCTCATGAACACAAGATGGCGACAACCACAACATTAGATGTTTATTATATTAACTATTTCGCTTTTGCTCAATGAAGTCGGCACTTATTATCCATTAACAGGTTTCAAGTGAAATAAACAAATACCTCAAGCAGTTGATTAAAGTATTTTATTCTGTTGGTTCATTTGATCTTAGTCCGAGTGTCCCAGTGATCGACCACCGACTCGTTTAGTGGTCACTTTCTATTTGGATTTAATCTGCTCTCATCTCGACACCAAATTCCGGTTGGTATCATTCATTATCCTTCTCATTCTGTTCTAACCTTTTTTGATCTTCAATGAAACCAAACAATTAATCAATCACTCGGTTTAATCAGTTCGATTAGAAAATCGATGTTTCATCTACAATTTGACATTTCTCTTGTTTCCTACCAAATTAATTGTTCTGCTCAACGTTAACCCAGAAAGTGATCTGATGAGCTCCGTTCATTTGGTGCTTCATCTTCATTAACTTGAACTAATTATCTTTATGGTTTTATTACCTGTGAATGTACATAAATGTATAACTTGTTAATTGTTTCCTTTTCGTTTCCTTTTTATGTTCATTTAATCTTGAACATGATTAAGGCTTAATCACAATCAACATTATGATTAAACAAAATACATTGTGAATGTTCAAGGTTAATTTTTCACGTTAAAATTGATTTGACAACGTTGATTGATTAATTGTTTGACTATTTACCCTTTTACCAACTCTCATCATCTTCATCGCAATTATCATCATTTTTCAAGTACTCATCATCTTGTCGTCAAGATGATCAATAGAAATCAGGCCTTAATTTTCTTAGTCATCAACTGATCATTTAATTTGACGATTTAATTGCCAGTTAACTTATTCCACTTGAATTATTCATCCAATCATGAATACACCTATTTTCTTGCGAAAAAATTATCATTTCTTAATTGTTAATGATTCTCGGGTTGAATTATAATCTTGATCAATTAATCAAGTAACAATTTCCAATGTTCAATTTTCCCGAAATAAATCATCATTATAATTATTTTTCTGTATCCAATTGATAATCAATTTAATTTTCTTATTAACCTCATCCTAATATTGAACCTTCATGTTACCTAAGTAATAACTAAATTAAATTGCTCTCAATTAAACTTATCTAACCAAAAATTAGCTCCATTTTATGTATTCACCGGTAGATTTATTAATTAACTGGTCTTTTCACAATTTAAAAAGGTACAATTTAAATTATCCGTTTAATTGGAAAAGTCTGAATAATTGCAACAATCAGCCAACCAAATCAATTGAATTGGTTTTTAATTCAGTAGCAAAGTAACCAAATAACCCTGTCTATTTCCTGGTGGTTCTAATCAACTTAATAAACTTTGAAATTAATCTCATTTTCAGTGCACTATTTTTGGATCGACTGTTAATTGCTATTACTATGCCTTGGGAAAACACCAAAAGTGTTAATAACAATAATAACATCATCACAATCAATAGTAAATCAACTGGATCAACTTCAGAAAAGATTTCAAGCCAAGAGAAACCAAGGAAAAAGTTCACTATCCCTCGACCTCCACAGCCATTGATTACTTTCGATAAAAATGAACTTAAAGCTCGACTCACGCCGATTCAATTCAGGGTGACCCAGGAAAAAGCAACTGAAAGGTATTTATGCTCATTGAACAAACATGACATTCATTTGTTTACCTTTGCCCTCCCAGAATTGGCATCTACTCACTTCCAAGTTGAACCTCCAAGGCAATTTCACTATTGATGAAACATTTATATTCATCATCTTCCTGTTTCTTTCCTGCTTTTCATCCTCTTTGTCTTCCCTTTTTCCCTTTGTAATTCATATGGATGAGCTTCTTTGTTATTACCCAGACTGAGCTTATCTATCGATCCATTGGTCATTTGTTTCGCTTAAGTCGATATTAATGTTGGTCATTTTCTGTTGACCATCAATAGTAAATCGCTTTTCCTTTTCCAGATTCTATTGTTAGTCATTCTGTTGATTTATTACAATTTCTTTTAATTTATCATCTTCGCCATCATTGTCTTATTTGAATTCATTACCTTTCTGAAAGATAAAAGGTTTTCACAAATGAATATGAAAATCAAGTTGCTACAATAACTAATTGCTTTTCTATTGTACAACTGTTATTATCTTGAAAATATCGAGTGCAGACTAAGAATCGATATTTTGAAATCCATTGTGTTCAAATTACTATTAAAGATGAACAAATTCAATTGTTTCCACTGTTAATTTCTTAATCCTTATTTAATTTAAGAAACGAAAGTGATTATTATGAGCAACTCATTTGTGCGTAAGCAATAACATTAATAACATTCATTTACTTGTTTTGGCAATGATTCAATTGAAGTTTTCATGTGAATAACAGAAACAGAATCTTGAAATAAACTGAAACGAGGTTTCAATCATATGTTATCGTTTTGTTGATAATTATTTAAGTTGAATTTACATTGATAATTAAAAGACGAGATGAAGATGAGTTTCATGATCTTCATCATGAAACTGAGGAAAGGAAAATGAGTGTTTGTCCTTCATGAGTAAAAAGACTCAGCTAATTCCAGTTCAAGGTGAACAACATTATTTTGTTATTCCTCGAATGAAAACTTACAGAGGAAAAGGAAAATAACAAGAAAATATCACGTTAATCATGAAAGTTTTCATGAAAGATTCATGGAAACAATTTACGATTGTTACTAAATAAAATTTTCGATCAGATTTCCATCTGATTTTCTTTGAAAGACTTTTTTGTTATTCGATTTTTATCTGAAATGGTTTTCACCAAAGTGATAGTAAAAAATATGAATCAAATTATTCAAATTAAATTGTTGTTATTCACCAATTTGATTTATCCTTCTCATAGACTGATGATGAATAAGAATGGAATGATTTTCTAAATAGAAAACTTTTCCTGATGAACTTTCACTTGAGCGAAGTTTTTGTTCTCAGATTGTATTAGTTACCTAAATAAGGTCGAACTTAACAAAATAATTGTTATCCTGTTTTTCACTTGGATGATCAGGTTACACCGATAATTGAATCTCATTGATTGTTAATTCTAATGCTCCCAGACCGATTACAATACAATTGATTCCATTTGTTAATCATTCTACAATTTTGTCTGTTGTATTTCCGTAAAGGTTTCTTAATTCTAAATTGAACCATAACAATTTAATCTCAATTTCATCTGAAAACTTTTCAATCTAAATTTAGCTTTGTAATTGAGCTTCATCAACATGATTAAAGCTCAAGTTTTTCTTCTCAATTAACAGATAGTTTAGCAGTTATAGTAATTAGAAGTTGTAAACAATTAGAATTTTAATTAGACTTGATTGTTGTTTATGCGGATTCTTAAGACATTCACCTTGTTAGTTTATGCTTTTCATTTATAACTTTTTTGGTTAATCATCTCAACATAACCGTGACTCGAAGCTATTAAATGGTTAACTAAATTGTTGTTTCAACTAATTTCACGGAGAGATCAGGGTACACCGACACATGAATAAGTATTCATGATTCAGAAACTTCAATTAACATGGTAATATTGAAATCGTCGGTTGATAAACAAAAATCTCAGTTATTTCATGATAATGATGAATTTGGATAAGTCAATGGTTGGATAATTGTTCTGTTGATTATAACAATTTTTATGTACTTGAAGTAATGAGTTTGTTGTTGATTATATTTAAATATGGCTCTTAATTGACAACAGAAAACATCTCAAGGTTAGTTGAATTGAGAAAAAGCAACTTTCCCATTAATTTGTCTCAATTGTTATTCAATATGTTCCAGAATTAGTTTGAGCAATGGTGATTGTTATCATCAGAACGAAGTCTGATTATGAACAATTTAACAAGTGATATCCTTAATTATCATCAATAGGTTCAACTTATCAAATAAAATTTCAAGGTTAGAATTTTTTGTACCAATGATCCGAACTGTTTAAAACATCATCAAAGATTCGGATGTTTCTTCATGTAAATTAGTTTATTTTGGCTTTAAGATTAAGATTTATAATCACTAAGATTTTGCATCAGTAGGTTAGTATCTAATTCAGTCCCACAGATGAGCTACTTTGGCTCAACATGATAAGATACATTAATTCTGGTAACGAGAGTTTTTAAAAATCAGCCACCTAAACTCTGGTCTAGAAAAATAATAGAAAATTAAACAAACTTTATGATTTTCTATCTATTAATTTGTAAATTGATTGTAAGGACTCATCTCAATTGTCCTGGTCATTTATCGATCCAATCATTGATGTCCACTTATATGGTGAACATTTGCAAGTTCCCATCTCTTTGTTTGGATCATATTATCTTCTGTAGGGATAAAGTGAAAGAAAATGACGAGAAGAGACCCAGGAGCTGCAAAATTAATTCAGTCCGAAGCGAAAACTGACCACTTTCAATCAAACTGTTCGCCTCATCGAGTTTTCAGCTATTGTTTGTCTTATTTTTCCATAGAAAAGCAAAACCCTCATCGCACTTTATGGACATTAGAAAATATTATAGTAAAACTTATTTACCACTGATAATGTGCATCGAATGCAAATTAACTTTTATTATTGTTAAATAGATTCATCAATATCCTTCTAATGGCGAAAAGCGATCAAGTTTTATTCAATCGCGTGTCTATTGATAGTAAACAACAACCAAATTCAAGGCTTCAAACTATTCCCAGATTCATATTTCTTGTTCATATTTCTGGATCAGTTTCAAGGTGGTTGACAAAATGCTCACATGAACTCACGAAGCTAAAATAACCCAGAATCTGAGATGAAGAGAACTGATCACGAGACTGACAAACTCTACTCTTCTCTATTCCTTAAACTGGTTCATGGGGATAACTAGAGTTTTTCTCACTCAGACAGTAATTGATTTTCTTGATACTTTAAGATGAATGATAATCGCAAGTCGCAGTGATGCTTAACAATTAGTCAGTCAGCTGATTACTTTATTCGATTTGTAAATGATTATCTAATCATATTGATTCTGCTTGTTGACATCAATTTGCAAAACTGATTTCAAAAGTAATCAAACAACAAACAAAATATTGAACGTGTTATGAATGAGAAGACAGAAAATCAACAAAACTTTTCCAACTGATTGTTGAATCTCAATTCAATTAGACTGAAAGTAAAAATTTTAATTGTTACCGAAACAATTTGTGTACTAAATTTAGTTGCAATTAAGAATTGAATTGAGTAACAATCTACTGAAGATAAACTCAATACAATAAATTGCAGTTTTTTTCATCTTAAAATGAATCAAGTTATTGCGAAGTGATTTATCAAGTGTTGATTATTTAAAATTAATAGAATAATTTTCAAGTTTTGTTAATTTAAATTGTTAATTGTTCTCCATAGTATTAATTTTATCTCTCAAAAGTTACTTAATATCGATTACTTGAACTGCGATTATCTAAATGAAAATTGAAAGCAATTGAAACTAATATTTACTTATCCAGAAAGAAGAAGGAGAAACGATTAGTAAATTGGACAATTAACATGAGTTTCAATCATCAATTATAAAACGATTTCATTTCAACAATTAACTTAATTCATTGACTTTGAAATGATTAAAGTTGCAATAAAATTATATTCATTCATCGTTTGATCAACTCATGATCCATAATTGAATCATTCCTATTATGCCAATCAAGTTAATTACTCAAAAATTAAACTTCAATCACTACGAATTAAGTTTATATTATAATAATTATCTAATCGTTGATATTGTTCATCTAATCCAATGTTTGTGAAACCTTTGAGGAAAACAATAATTGGAATGATTAACATGATGATCTCTCTTATGGTTTCTATTATTATCTGATTATCTTGATCATCTTAATCCTTAAAATAAATCAATTAATCTCGATATTTGAACATTTTTTAATTCTTATCTGATCATCAATGAAAACTTGATATATTAAATTGACATTAATTTCATTTGATTAATCTCGTTAATTGTTATTGAGTAATTGATGATTTGTAACAACCCGTTTGATTGACAATCATAATTAACCATTATTGTGATTAATTTATCTCTCTATTAATCATGTTCAAGCCCTTCAATTGTTACATTCAAATCAAGTTAGATTATTGACTAATCTGATTAATCTAATGAAATTTTTTACATCGTTTCAGTTGAGTTAATTGTGAGTTTCGGACAATCAAATGAATGGTTAACCTACTCTAAATTACCATCACAATACTTGCCCTGAATGATTATGTTTTGGTAAACATACAATTAAATTGTATTGATACTTAACAAACAATATAATGAATCGTCGTAAACAATTTATACCACATCATAATATTGAGTATTTAATACAATGTAAATGAAGCAATCAATTGTTACTTAAATTGTGAATAACTTGACAAACAATAGGAAAAATGATCAAGCCAATTATGATGATCAGATAATAGCACCCAAATTAACAGTTAATAAAACTAACGGTAAACTTAAATCATCCATGCCAATCATATGATAACCTCTTTCTACCAATTGATTAACTAATTAAATCTTTTCTCTTCTTATTCTCGGTCATTCGTAATTCTCTGATTGCCCCTTTAGACCTTTTTCTGGCGAATATTTGAAATTAAAAGACAACGGGATGTATTCATGTTCAGTTTGTGGCGAAGAATTGTTTTCATCTACCTGTAAATACGATTCTGGATGTGGTTGGCCCGCTTTCTATGATATAACGAACCCGAGCAAAGTTTCACTCAAACCTGATCTGTCTCATGGTATTTATATTGTTCTGTTATCATTAACAATCGAACCAGAGTTGGAATGCTTATTGAGTTTAGAAAATGAAAGTGACACTTAAATTCTGTTCATGATCTAATTAACTAATCAATCACAAGTAGAATGAATTTTAATTTGGTTCACTGTTCATGTTTCAATATCATTGTTCAATCTTAATCGGTTATTGGGTTTTATTGAGATTAAATAGAATTTAAATGCATTTTAACTTTTTACGGTTCGAAGGTTAAATATGATTATAATTGTTATTCAATCATGTTAATTTAATTATCTTTTCATCTTTCAGTTGGAGGTAATTTACTTTTATTAGCAATTAAACCCGATCTTGTGAGAACTGAAGTGAGTTGCGCTAAGTGTGGATCTCATTTGGGACACGTATTCGATGATGGGCCAAAACCCACGGGAATCCGATATTGTATTAACTCCGCGTCTCTCAAATTCAACCGAAGTAAAAATAATCAACCAGACACAATTGACAATAGTCCGGATCTTTCCATTGCCACCAAATAATTTCATCACAACAAATTAAACTTCATTTCTTAATCATCTCAAATTTCACTTTTCCTTCATTATGATTAACTGTCATTATGTCACCGACCCTTGACTATTAAATCATTCGTTTAAAAAATACGTTTCACACCATAATTTAAATCACAATTTTCTTATATTATTGTTTTACGAACAATCAATGGATAGTTGATTAGACTGTCAATAATAAGCAAATTTGACAATATATGATTCTTACAGGAATGGTTCATGTTGATAGAACATGAAAATCTAGTATATTGTCGCACAGGTTTAGAAAACTTGATAATGACATTAAAAGATAAAATTTAAACAGATTTAGTTATTTTCGAGCCAAAGCCATTCCGACAAGACCAACAAGACCGCCGACAACTAGAGCAGCTCCACCGGCGATCGCTGCTCCTTTTAGCCCATCTCGTTTGATTCTGTCTTTGATTATCTTCTTCAATTCGGATGCTTGTCTATTACTTGGCTCTGCTAGAAGAAACTTATCGATACAGTCCAAAGCTCGACTGTAATCGGCGATTTTTGTGTTTGCGATCGCGAGATAAAACAAATAATCGCGTTTCTCTTCACCAGCTTGACTATGACACAACTCTTCCAGTAGAACGATTCCTCGGTTGATATCTGCTCGATATTTACTTCGAATTAAACACCAGGCATATTCGAATTGTGTCTGGGAAGTGAGTGTTCCATTTTTACGACTTTCGTGGTAATTACATTCAAATCCTTTCAAATCATCAGGACTGATGTAGTCTTCAAGAAGAGCCTCCATTTGGATGCAACAGAAATGAAATGAGTGATGAAATCTGGTGGAAAATGACAAATGTTTACCTTTCAATGGATTAGGTTTCAAGTGTTTTCTTGGCAAAAGTGACTTACCTGGTTCTATTCAAGTGCCAAGGTGAGAAGAGGAGGTTGAACAATTAACGAGCACAATTAAGAATTTAAAAGGCCAACGCAACAATTTAATTACGATTCAGAAAGGTAATACTAATTTCACAATAAAATAGCGTATCAATGATAAATTGTTTCCCTAAACCAGAATCATTATCAACCGAAATAAGCTTGTGATGGAACAAGGAACAGATCCATCTGTTGGTGAGAAATTATAATAATTCATCTAATTGGGGTCCCAATTTCAATTTAGCTAATTACGATAATGTGAGCCTTTTGTGCGATACTCAGTCAGTTTATCGACAATGGAAATGGTTATGAATTGATCTCTTATATGATTTACTTTGTCCATAAGGACTTGTTCCATTTTTGCCCCCTCACCGATTTGATTAATTCGAGCCTAATCGAATATTCCTCAGAGATCATCTTTTGAGGTAATTAATTGGGAGTAATTGACAATCAATTAAGATCTCGTCTGAATCAGTTGATTCAGAAAAAAACTTGTTAATTGAGATCCATTTAATAGGCAATTTTGATTTTCTTCTTGTATTTGATTTAATACATTAAGACTGTTATGAGTTTAATTATTAATTAATAGTACAATGAGTGATTGATTAAATTGTAATTAGTTTTCAGGAACTGGTGAGTCAATTTGAGGAATATCATCAAACTTGATTGTACATTTGCCATCATTCAAACAAGAAGTTGGTTCAAGTTCAACAAAAACTAATTCATTTGATTGAGGATAAGCGTTAATCCAAACACCAGGTACGTAGAGAGTAATTTGTGGTCCGTTGTTAGGCCAATATCGTCCAAGACATTTACCGTTAAGGTAAACGAAGCCTTTGGTCAAGTTACTTGGATTAAGAAAAGTGTCAGCAGGTTGTGTTCCGGCAGGTAAAGTGAACTGACCTTTGAGAACGGCAGGGGTCAAAGACTGTCCGTTCTTCTTGACGTCACTTAATGAACCATTCACTTGAAGATAATGACCTTTGGTGACAAAATCTTCCCAATCATCAAGATAAATATGGTCCCAGTTTTTTAAAGTCTTCGAACCAAGATAAACATTACCGAAAATACCCTGAAAATATGGAAAATAATTTAGTTTCGATCTCAACTTAATCTAATTTAAAATAAAATAATTCTTACCTTGTGTTCAGACATTTCCTGGTCATAGTTGATTCTACCCTGATTTTCAACCAGAATTTCAACAACTGAACCTTTTTGAGCTCTTATCGGGATAACCAAAGCCTTTTCTTGTCTTCCGATGTAACCTTGGTAGACCTGAAATAAATTAGACAATATTAATTAAAAATTCTGGAATTCTTGAATCTCGAAGCTCAATCACCTTGTCGACATAAATATAAGCTCGATCTCTCAAGTTGTCGAAAGAAAGAGACGATGGACTAGTTGGTTTAAAATCGAGTTTGTTTGAGTAAAGAACGAGACCATTTCGAGCACCAAGGTATTCGAATGCTTGAGGATCTGAAGCTGTTTTCGATTTCCATGTTGCCTTGTTGAATAATTGAGGGAAAGAAGCATTAAGTTCTAAAGTGATTGGACCGAAGCTCATTTTATCGCTTTGTCGCTTGATCTTCAATCCAGGAACTGGTAAGTACTGTCAAAGAAAAGCATTTGTTAGACTATTGTCACGAATCTTATTAGAAGATCGATGATTGAATGTTTTACCTTTTCAACGACTTTTTTAATTGCATCATATTTGTCGGTTGTGTCTCCGGCCTCATTCAAAGGAGCGTCATAATCATAGCTTGTTATTTGTGGCGAATACTGGCCAGAGCCGCTGTTCGCTCCGGACATGAAACCGAAAGAAGTACCTCCATGGAACATGTAGAAAGCAACCGACGCATTGTAGGCCAGAATTTTATCCAACCAGTAAGTGACATCACTGGTCGATACTTTTTGATGTTTTTCTCCCCAATGGTCCAACCAACCAGGATAAAATTCAGAATTGACGAGAGGTCCAGAAGCTCGATGAGCTCTTAGAATACCAAATACATAAGCTGGATCTTGACCAGTACCGAAATCAATGGTAGCCAATGTTTGATCAATGAGAGCACATCGAAGTCCATCATGATTGGGTTGGTCAGTAGTAAATAAGATCACATCTTTACCCAAAGCTGAATGAACCATATCACGAAGTCGGGATGTGTAAACAAAGTCGCAAGTACCAAAAGCACCATATTCGTTTTCGATTTGAATTGAGATAATTGGTCCACCGTTTTTGTACAGATAAGGCTCAATAATTGGCAGTAAAACATTGAACCATTTAGTTACATAGTTCATGTAAATGTCGTTATTGCTTCTCAGTTTAACATTATATTGTAACAGCCAATAAGGAAGTCCACCCTGTTTAGTTATCAAGGTAGATGATCAGTAATCTATCAAAGATTAGAGATAAAGATTTAAATTATCTTACCAAATCTCTTTCAGCGCAAACATAAGGCCCCATTCTCAAGACAACGAGTAAATCAGCGGCTTTTGCGGCCTCAAAGAAATTGGCTATGTTAAGATCTCCCTCGAAGTTGTAAACACCTTCTTGTGGCTCATGAGATGACCACTCAATGTATCTAATTGAATATCAATGGTTGCGATGATTAAATGCTAATTATTGACTTTGAATCGATGCACTTACGTTTGAACAGCGTTTAAACCTGCAGCTCGCATTTTGGTCAAACGATCTGACCAATACTGATGAGGAACCCGGAAGTAGTGAAGACAACCAGCCACATAACGGAAGGGTTCGCCATCTTTGAGGAAACAATTGTTTTCATTATCTATTTCAAACTTGCGATTAACCTGAAATAAGAAAAGTTAATCAAATAAGGAAACTGAATTGATGAATTCATGTATCATCATGATCGATACTCACCTCATTCGATGAACATTTTACAGCAATTAAACTAATTAAAAGTAACAGAAACTGTGAAACCTTCTTATGAGCCATTTCTTGGATGTCTTTTTGTTTAGCGATGTAAACAAATCAGTTAATTGTGATTAAAAAGCTAAATAAATAGACTTGTGAAGACACATAGCAACCAATTTGATAACATGTAACTACTGCAATTAATGTATCATTTGTAATCATGATTGACAAAAGAAATGAAAACAATAGTTATCTTTATTTAATCCAGTGCAAAATCAATTGTTAATCACAAAGAGCTTTAATTGTCTCGTATTTATAATTATCGTTAAGGGGAACTCCAAATACATAATTAAAGTTTAACATAAATTTTTGCAAATTATTATTAAGCTGTTGATTGGATTGAAATTGGAAAGAAACAGTTTATGATCTAATTTGATAATCGATCCATTTAACTTTATTTCTCACTCCCAACCAACAGATTAATCAACAAATTACCCAACAATTAAAAGTTGATCGAACAATAAAAAGTAAACTTTGTTCCAATAATCAAACAATTTGAATCTAATAATAAACAATTTTGTTATTGTGATTAAATAATCATTTCTACTGATTGATAAGCATGAAAACGAAAATATTATATTGGCAAACAATTAACAATTGAATTATTGTTATTAATTGAATCGACTAATAATAATAATAAGGAATCGGGTATCGAGGTCCAAAGGCTTTCGAGTACTTCGGATGAACAGATTTCAACCCATTTTGATCGTAAATATTTGATATCCAAGATACTTTGGGTTTGCTGTTTAGAACTTTTGTCTTTTGAATTGTGTTTTTCTTCCGTTGATTGGCCTTTAATTGTGAGCGTTTCTTTTCGATTGCTTTTCTTCTCAATATTTTAAGAACTATTTTCCTTAAATGATGGAATAAAAATTTAGCAACTGTAAGCATAGAGATTTCGAGCCATAGACTGATAATCGAGGCCACATAACAAAAGAACTCGATATCATTCAACTTTTTGACCATCGTCACATTAGATTGAAGTCCAAGTGGAAAAGCCCATTGAATGGAAACTATTCCAGGTTCGATCTTGGGATCGAATTCTGAATGTAATGTTTTCACTTCAAATAATCGATACTCACACTCTTCTTGTGGATATTTGTTCTCACAATCAGATCGATATTTCGATATTTCAATACCTTTATCGAAAGTAACATTTGTCACACTACTGCTCGTGGAAATCAAGGCTCGTTCATGAAAGGCCGTTTTATTCTGGTAGATGTCAGTGTACATACAATTTTTAATTAAATTTCGCTTTGAAGAGCCAAATGTCTTGACATAATCAAGACAATTTGAATAAGGCGACGAAAGTTGCGTCGTCGATTTGGTGTAATAAGTCATGATGAATTTATTATAAAGATTGAAATCCAGAATGGTCATTTCAGGGCTTCCATTGCTGAAAGCAACTTCTTCGTCGTTATCGTGAACAAAAACCACCGTAATTCGAGTAATTGATTGATTGCTATTAACTCGCATCACAAGAAATGGTTCATCGTAGTAATCATTTCGATTATACTGATAACGCTCCTCCATATAAGCGAACCAAGTGAAACATTTTAGAAATGGACTCATAGCAACATTAACTGGACGAACATCAGCACAATCGATGAAATTGAACAATGAATTCGCATCAATTGAAGCATTCGCAACTTCACAAGATTCGATATAATCGTCAACTTTTGGTGTAAATCGATCCAATTCATCGAGAGTTAAATCAAACGATGTCGCTTGAAATCCAATGGGCTCATTTCGAGCATTAAGAGCTCTCACTATTTCTATTTCATCGATATGATAAAGGAAACACAAACTAACCGATGGTAACATGATCTGCGAAGGTCGATAAAGGTCAATCAATGTTGTCGTTGGAAACGAAAAGTACAGAGCAAATAATGTTAGCACTTGAAAAGTTGATCCGAAAACACAAATGACCAAAGGAACTAATTTATCGTGAGTAAAGATCAGAGACTTTTTCAGAGAATTTGTTTCAACTTTTTTATCTTTCGAAGACATAATTAATTCGTTAACAAGGTTCGAATCGACCCAGTTATTAAAACACTAAAATAATCACATAAACAGAGCTGAAAATGGCCCGAATCCTTATTGGTTAATTATCGAGAAATTCAAATCAATTCACAAGAAAATCATTAAAAATGACCAAAACTTTGAGAACTTGATCATTACAATTGATCGATATAAACTCAGTTTCTGTTACATATTCAGAATTTGAATCAAAATATTCATTAAGAATACAAGACATGAATATGAAATATCTTTTAATCATAAACTCCAATCCTAGTGAATCTATTGCTGAATTTTTACAATTGTAGAGAAAATTATGAATGACCACATCGATTCAATGGCCATTGGATCGTTGAGTTTACAATTCAAAGTATGAACATCAAGTTGAGGCACAAAAATGGCGATTGAAATGCGAATTCAGTTTCTGGTGATTGCAATGAAACATCTCATGAGATTATATAGATTGTTAACTTCAACTCATTTACTAATTTGCTAATTTAGTTGATCTCGAATGAAGTAGATTGAACATCATTGGTGTTTCTTTCTAATAAATGCGAGAAAACGGTTCCTTTGAGCTTCGTTCATCATGGTTCGAACAGTAAGAAAGTTAGGGTCAGTATCAGGCTCGACTGATTGGATTTTAGATTCTCGGTAAAGCCAACTCAGTTCTTCGCCTCCATTGGCCACTTTTATCTTGACGATTTGTTGACCAGTAATTTTACACAGTTTCGAGTCCACTTCATTTATCAATTGATTTAAATTGTTGCCATTAACAGCTGATATGCGAATGTCATTCTCACTGATTTCTTCACGTTCCTCCAGAGAAGAAGCTTCAATCAAATCAACCTTGTTTGCGACATTAATCATCGAAGAAATTAAGTGTTGGGGAAATTTCAAGAATTCCAAAGTGTTTGAAACGGTATATCTTTGATTCTTCAGGTCAGGATGAGAAGCGTCATAAACATGAACCAGTAGATCGGATTGAATGACATCTTTGAAAGTGGCATTGAACGAATCCATCAAATGCTCTGGTATGTCCGATATGAAGCCTACTGAGTCCAAGAATAAAACTTTACGGAAATTTGGAAGTTTAACTCCATGAGCGGTAGTTTGTAAAGTCGCGAATAATCGATCTTCAGGAGATAAATTCCGTCTTGACTTAGAGCTTTGATTAAACTCGTTTTACCGGAGTTCGTGTAACCAATAACTGAGATCGAAGGCAGTTGCATCTCTTTTCGATGATTCCTGGTCTGTTCTTTGTTTCTTTCGATTTTTTCGAGAGCTCTACGCAGAGATCTGTACCGATTGTCCAAAAGTTTTTGGTACTTTTGTTTAGGTGTCAACCCTGTTCCTCTCGCTGACTTACCCATACTGTATCTATTTCCATGACTGTCGAATGTAAGTTGTCCAATTCTGGACTTTAGATAGTGAATTTCCGCCAAACCGAGTTGAACTCTGGCCTCTGCAGAAACTGCATAATGTTTGAAAATTTCTAATATGATGGAAAATCTGTCGAAAACGGGGATGCCCAATACTTTTTCCAAGGCGAATTGTTGTTTTCCTAACAGTTGATTAGCAGCGATGAAAAGACCAGTCATTGTCGAACCAGCAGCTCGACCTTTTAATTGTTCTACAATTTTTTCGGAGAAAAATAGAGGTTTTTGATAATCAGGAACGGGAAAAAGTCCAGCATCACATGTTTTCCAATTCGGGATACTATGAACCAAACTGATCGCTTCTTGTAACCGAAGCTCGGGTGGACTTTTAGATTCGACGAAACTTCCACTAAGTTTGAGATAAGGTTGACAGACGAAAACTGAAAGAGCCTTTCGCCCGTCGACAATATAATTATTTCGTAACTCATCAAACTCAACATCGGCTTTAAGAACATCATTGAAATCGTAATCACCTTCACCAGGATGGTGAAGAATACAAAAGGTCCGTTTAAACCAATATTTTGGGAATAAAATAGGTCGCAATCTAATCAACGATCGTCTTGGAAAGTCCATTATTCTGAATCACCAAAATGATCACAATCAACAAGAAATAAACAAATTCAAGATTAAAAAGACATTTTGATGGATCGAAATGAGAGTCACCTGTTGGCCGAAAAGTGAAGTTTCTGCAAGAAGAGATTTTAAATTCCCTTCTAACCCCTTGGCTTTTGCTCTCGTTAATTAATCATCTTAATTGAGTTTAATCCTAATTTCGGGAATTGATTATTATTTAGATCGATTGTTGAACCACCCAAGCACCTTTTTGAATGGGACTGTGACTTTGAGGCTTCTCCGTGATTCCTGTTGAGTGATTTCTCCTTCAAGTGACTAGTCTTCATCTCTCACTTTTCCTTTGTGATTCTCAACATGATCTGAATGCAACTCAAGCCAATTTACTAAAACTTGATTATCCATGGACTCGAGCAACTAATTGATTGATTAATTGCCTTTGTGAACATTGATTATGATTAACTGATCTGCAATTGCAACTGCAGGTTCAGATTGTGAAGGTGGTCAGTCATATGATTCGACATGCGTGATGAGGCGAATACGAGACAGTGAAAAGCTTCATCTGTTGGAGATTTCGATGTAAATAAAGAACAGTGGATCTTAATGTTTGGTTAGAATTTTAACTTGTGTGACCTTCTATGATCATCATGGCTTCTGCAAGCACGTATTTCGAAACTCCTCCACGATCTCCACGAACCCAAGGTTGTATGGTTCATGCCATTCAACATCGATTTGTAAATGCCATCAAGGTACCTACAACTCTATGTAATTTATGTGATAAGCCAATGATGATTGGATTCAAATGTAGAGACTGTAAATATCGATGTCATAGGGACTGTGTGGACAAAGTTCCCCCATCCTGTGGTCTTCCTATTAAATATGTTGACTTTTTTCGTGAAACAATGAGAAACGAAGCTCGAATCAACCAACAAATCATCATAGAAACACCACCCTCACCCAATCCATCATCTCTTAATCTCCAAAACAGTCACAGTATGCAAGAGTGGGACATTCCATTTGATGAACTCAAGGTGGGTGAAAAGATCGGCTCAGGTCAATTCAGTACAGTTTACAAGGGTCGATGGCATGGACTCGTTGCCATCAAAACCTACAATATGAACAATTCCCAATACGAAGACTTGAAAGCCTTGGAGGCCTTCAGACAAGAAGTGGCCACTTTCCGTAAAACTCGGCATGAAAATCTGGTTCTATTCATGGGAGCCTGTATGAAACCTCCTCATTTAGCTATTGTGACAAGTCTCTGTCAAGGACTCACTTTGTACACTCATATACACCTGAGAAAGGATAAGTTCAATTTAAATCGTATTATACAAATTGCCCAACAAATTTGTAGAGGAATGGGTTATCTACATGCTCGTGATATAGTCCATAAAGATTTAAAAAGTAAAAATATTTGTTACGAGAATGGGAAAGTGATCATCACTGATTTCGGTCTCTGTTCGGTAACCAAACTGTGTCATGGGAAAAACAAAAGTGATTTTTTAACGATACCAAAAGGATGGCTGTGTTATCTTGCTCCAGAATTAATCAGATCTCTTCGTGCCGATGGCGATGTACCTCAAGACCTAGAAGATTTACCTTTCTCTCCAGCCACAGATATATTCGCATTCGGGACAGTCTGGTACGAACTATTAGTCGGTGCTTGGCCATTCATCGGTCAACCTCCCGAAGTTATCATTTGGCAAGCTGGAAAAGGAATCAAACAACCTTTAACTAATTTACAAGCATCGAGCGAAATTAAAAATATACTAATGATATGTTGGTCTTATCTACCTACAGACAGACCCGATTTTAGTAAATTACATGACTTACTTAGTAAATTACCTAGAAAGAGATTACAAAGGAGTCCCTCTCATCCAACATATCTACTACGATCTGCTGAATCCATTTAATTATATATTTAATTTACATGTATATGTATTGTTGGAGTTGGACTTGATAAGTCGATGTATTAATCATCCAATTAAAAATGTTGTGATAAGAAAACAAAGTCTAATTTAATTTCAACTAATTACAAGGCTCCAAAGCTCGAGGCAAGGATTAGTTTACAGTTCTTGTTGAGGCGAATTTTCATCTGTCTGTTTTGACACTTGATCGAAAATTTGGCTCTTTTTCTGGGCTCGTTCTTCCTTCTCCCGAAGCGTAAGGAAACTCTCCACTGCTCCATATTTCGCTCTCAATTGCGCTCTCACTAACTGTCTATTCTTTTGATAATGCCACTTTATCAAGTGTTTTCCATAGCCCAAAGTACGAACGTAAGCAGGATACTTTTTAGGATTTAGTTCCATGACTTGTCCATTGTTGACGTACATATGAAAGTCGGTGTATTCGTCTTGCTGCACCTCAGTGAGTTTTCGGACTTTTCCATCACTTGGACTAGCGAGTACTCGAGGGTAAAGGCCAGTTTCCTCTCGAAACTCGACAAGATGAAGTTTCTTGTCATCGGCCATCTCCTGGAAACTCTTCTGATTGAAAAGTCCGGTGATAAAGGCACGAGCCATATTGAAATAGTTTTCAGTGTTACCTTCATGCTTAACACAAATATCCTTGATTCCAACAGCAATACAAATATCTCTGATCACTCGGTGGCAAACTAATCCGTATCCGGGAGGCATTTTGAATGCATAGACTTTATTGCAAAAGAATCTTGCATGGAAATCGTGATAAATTGTGTGTCCATCGCAAATTGGAACTGAAATGCAATTTCGAGAAGCAGCAATATACGAATGTTTGATTGCATCTCTCATGTTGTCAGCATTCGCTTTGCCTAAACCAACGCATCCATTTTGATTTCCAATAATGGCGAGAGTTCGCAAATTGGGCAACTTTCCTTTACCAGCTCTTGGAGTCATTTTTAACTTTGATTGTATCGTAGTGCAAACGAAATCAACGAGTCCCTCTTCACCAGGGAAAACATCTTTGCCTCTGGACCACAGACCATGAGGTGAACCCCTGACCAGCCTCTGCTCAGAGGATTCACTCGGACTTTCATGTATGTATCCAGCTGATTACGAATTTCCACCAAATTTTGAGAGTAAGAATCATCTTGTGGCATTTGCTTGATTTCCACAACTTCCCTTCCTTTAACTACTTGACTATTAAGACCAGGCCAGATTATATTCAATTTACCGATTCCAATTTGCTGACCTTTGTTCAAATCTTTGGCTCTCTTACCACCGGCACCTTTACCTCTACCTCTCTTTTTACCAGCATTACTAACACTGGTCACCCCTTTCCAAATCTGATGAGCATTTACTAGAAAATGAAAAGTAATTAGTAAGATGAGTTCATTACAGATAAACGATTAACAACAAAAACTTACATCTATTGAAAAACGATGTGCTCCACCTGATTTGATGGCAGTTGATGTTTTTTACATTATTCAAGGAGATCAAATTGTTAATGGAACTTTCTTTCAACAACACATTAGAAAAACTGTTGGCGACTAAACTGAAATTTTTGATTAGTCGAAAATTCATTTTAATTAAAATTGCGAAACAGAAAACATGAATCTCAGTTTCAGTACAAAATTAGCACAAAATCAACGAGACTCATTGAGATCCAATGGATTCCGATCTCAGAATATCAACTCTTGGGATCCAAATACAAACCAATCTGAAAATCACGAAACTTTAAAGTTTAAACTTCCGAGATTCTGAATGTTTAATAATTTGTGACTATTTTCTTATTATTATTGAAATTGATTTTTAGTAAAGATTTGATTTTAATAGAAGTGAGAGTGAAACGATCCTCGGAGTCTTCGGGGATCGTTGAAGTGGTTTGAATTAACCATGAAATTAACTATCATCCTGAAGAAGTGATAGATTGTAACAATTTTAGGTAAATAGTTTAATGATCTAATGACTATGATAATAGAAATGGAAATAGAAAAGTAAACAATTCTGACTAATAATACATGTAAACCAAGAGAGAAACTACAACTTTGGTTTGACTATTGACCATCAACTCGCAATCAACAGATGATCAATCAACTTCCTAGAGAAATCATATCCCCCCAAATAAACTGCTCCACCAATGGTGATGAAAGTTATTCGAGGAGTAGCACCAGAATATAATCCTCTCAGTCCCGATTCTTTCCAAATTATTCGTATCACCGACAAGAAATTTACTCTTCCATACTTATTGTCCTTCTTTGCGAGCATGATACGAGTCTTGGCAACGTCGATTGGATTGGTAATCAGTGCGGCCGTTAGTCCGGATATCGAACCACAAACACACGATTCCCAAGCTTCTAATGGTTGTCCGGTTAATCTGCACCAAATTGATTTCAGTTCTTCCCAAAGAGGCAATTGAATCAAAGCGAAAGGAACGTCTCGAGATATTGTCGACAAAAAACCTCGATAAAGACCAATCAACTTCTCCTCTCGAAGAGCTTCTTTCAATATAATTCCACTGGAGACTTTCGATGCTTGGGTTCGTTGTTTGATTACCTCCACTGGTACACGAATCAAACATGCAGCCTGAGAACGAGAGTCGAGTCATTAGTTGCATCATTCATTCAATTCAATGGATCGCAATTCAGTTCAATGGATCGCAATTAAGTTCAATTGGATTCGCTTACTGTTTCTGCAAGTGAAGCTGAGACCATGTTGCTCACAATTGGTTCCTTGAGATGGTCAATCGTCATCCTTTTAGATGCTTCATAAACACTGAAAAAAGCAGCGGCTATTCATCAATTGTTAATCCTCATTAATATCAACACATAATATCAACACCAAACTAAATTAACTCACCATTAGGAGCAGATACAATCATCGCCGATCCTAATCCTCGGTACAATTGTTTCAATCCACCAGAGTTTATGAAACCGAATTGACTTTGCAATCGAGTCTTGATTGTATCCAATGGAAATAGAGCCAAATCAACAGACAATCCAGCGATTGCTCCGGACTATTGATTTACCACAAACAGAATCAAGAAAATCACAATCGGTAAACAGTTGAACAATCAGACAATTAGATGATCAAGATACTTACCAAAAGAGCAGAAACCAATTGTCGATTTTCATGCGTTGATTGTTCCATGTTTACAATTAATCTCCAATCATTTCGTTCATCTCATTCATTTCATTCATTCTGATCAAGACTAATCGTTAATTAGTTGATTAATTGTTCAAGTCAATCAACTAAGAAAAGTCCATGTGTTGATCTGTGAGAGTCTCAAGTAAACAACAAGAAATGTTTTCCAACAGCCAATCGATTTTGTGCTTTTGCTTTTGCGCTTCATTCAAATTAACACAACAATCGATCAGGTGGTCAATTTATTTATTCTAATTTAACTATTATCAAATTACACACGATTGCAGTAATTATCATTCAGTCACAATTATGTTTCATCAATTTGTTAATTTCCATTCAACAAAAAGTTTCATCATCGTCAAGATGTTTTTCTCAATCAAGACGATAATTTTGCCATAAGACTTTAAAATTTGAAAAACTAAACAATTGATTCTTTATGAATTTTAAACATATTCAAAACCTATTCCAAACTGGAATCTTCTATCAGGTCGATCACCAGGTTGTAACGATAATGGGACACAGTAATTGAGCTCTAAACGAGCTAAACTAAGAAAAGAAACAACGATTCCAAAACCAGCCGAAAGTCGAACTCTGTTCAACAGGTTGTTGAAGTATTTGACGCTATCGCCATTGAATGAGAAGTTGCCGATGTTACCAGCGTTTAGGAAGAAATGAGCCTTGAGCCAATTTTCCAAACTGTGGGTTTTCTTAAATGGGAGAGGAGCATAAAGATGAAGGCCGGCGATCCAATAAGTAGTGGATCCAAGTGCATTTCCTTCAGAATGAGGACCAACTCCATTCATTTTGAAGCCTCGAAGACTCATGGGTCCACCTAAGAAAAACCTATCGGCAATTGAACTGGACGAATTCATAAGTCCGGCTTTTATTGACCCTTCGACACTAATGTTGCTAACCAAGGGTATACTTTGTGAAATTTGAAGTTCGTGTTTAAAAAAGTTTGTATCACCACCTAATCCGGCATATTCTTGATTTAGTCTCACTAAATAGCCGAGATTTGGTAAAAGTGGACCATCTCTTCGGTCCAGGGTCATCGTGTGAAAAATAGAAGATTTTAAACTGTGTCCACTTTGCTCTCTAATCTGAAAACTAGAACCAGTAGTTTGAATTTCTCTCCAAATACCGGCCCATCTGAAACTATGGTTTATATCTGCGAATGAATTGAACGACAAATCAGAGAGAAGACCTCGATCTACTTGATGGAATCCAGACCAAGGCTTATCGGTATAATTTTGGAATATCGATGTTGTAATAACTGGATTATGATACGTCCAAGGTTTGAGTGGAGCTTTAAGATCAATGTTGATTCCCTTTCTCGCCCTTTTTGAAACTTGATACTCAATACTAAGTTTTTCTGCTCTTCCGAATAAATTAGGAACCTCAGACTTCAGAACAAGAGCTCCATCATTATTTTCCACGGTTGTTGAAATCTTTCCAGACAGATGACCTTTTTCTTCAACATTGTAAATAACTTCATAGCCAATGGAACTTTCATCATCTATAATGAAAAGAAATCAAAATGAATCAATGGATGAACAGAAAACAAAACCACTTCACTCACCTCTTATGGTATCAATGGATATTCCCACCCGACTGAATATTCCTAAAGACGATAACCTGTCCTTCACCTCATATGCTTCCAACAACATATCTTGAAAGTTATTCACATTTTTGAATTTATTCTGAACCATATTCACCATCAAACTGTCCTTAGTCTTTTTCAATCCATCGATTGTAATTTTATCAACTCGAGCCTTCACACTGGTCAGAATTGAGAGTTCGCTGTCATCGGCCATAGTTGATCAACAAGAGTCTTCTCACTTTCTTTTTAATCAATCAACATGCGACTATACAGAAATAAAAACACTAATCAACTGAACATATTCAATGTGAACACAATTTGCCCTTTAAGGTTAAAAATAAACAGATGATTTCATGAGAACCAACTGAGTCCAATTCTCGCCATCTGCTGGAAGTTGAGGGAACCATTTCACCGCTTCGAAATTGAGTCATTCAAATGTTTCACATTCTCAAAGTTTTTCATCGTCGTTGGTCACTTGTCGATTTTGTGACCAGAATCTTGCGAATTTACTGTTATTTTAATTATTTCGATTCAGTTAGTCTGACCGATCGATTTAAAATGTGATCACTTTTAGCTGAGCTACAAATGTCATTCTCATCGACTCCTTGATGTTTCTCTAGAGAAGAAGCTTCGATTAAATCAATCAAATTAATTATTGAACAAATTAAAAGTTGGGCTTGAAAAATCTTGATATTCATTGAATCACAAAACAATATAAACATGAGAAATTCAATGAGAACTTTGAGCCAAGTGATTAATTGAAAGAAAATTAATGATGCAAATATTTAGTGTGATAAATAATTAAGAAGGTAAATCTATTTATTTAGAAGATTAATTTGATGACAATAACAGATAATTATTGAATTCCAGTGAATGATTATAGATTAATTAGATTATTAATTAGCCATCAACTATGAACCAGGATGAATTGAATGATATCCATTCAGTGGTCACAATCCAATTGATTATTGATTTTAAAGGTGACTCTAATAGTGGAGAGAATCAATTAACCAGATAAAATTAGTTACGAATATTTAATTTAAGATAATAAAGAAGCAGCTAGAATCCCAAAGGCACCAAGAATCAGATTTAAAAGCAGCGAGTGAATAGAAGCAATTAAACAGTTTGATTAAGGAAAGAAAAGTTAAGCGTTAGTGATGGACGATTGATTTGATTAAGAAACAAATACATGTATTAGATTCAACTGAATGGCAACAATTAATCGGTGTTAGAGACAGACTTCTTCTCTGAGGTTACCTTGTTATGACCTTTAATGACCTTTTCAACCCTCGAACCATAGTCTTGATCGATGTTCTTCAACAGATCAATTACACGTAATTGCAGAAACGATTGAGCAGCAGAAAGATTCGTTCCCATATTAACTGCAAGACGATTTCGTTCATCTTCATTTAGAACCTTTTGCCAGAATTCACGAACTTGGGTAACGTTGTCATCATCTTTCGACTCGTACCGATCCATATCCCCGATGAAATACTGGGCTGAATAAGGACACTCCTTGTAGATTGGATTCGGTTTTATGTTAACAAATGAATTAGGCAAGTAGTTGGGTATTCCACCTAAATTGCCATCAACACACATCGGACCATCGCGATAGCTCAGCGCGTAAACGGGACATCGAGCCTTATTCACGGGTATCATATGGTAATTAGCTCCAAGCCTGAAGAAAGTAAAAAGATTCACTGATCAATCTATCAGATGCAATTAATTATAGTTAGTTGACTACCTGTGACGATGTGTATCAGGGTAGGAAAACAATCTTGCCTGAAGCATTTTATCAGGTGAAGGTTCAATACCAGGAACCAGATTAGCCGGTGAAAAGGCTGATTGTTCAACTTCAGCAAAATAATTGTTCGGGTTCTTGTTCAAAACAACTTTGCCAACTTCAATCAGGGGGAACTCTTTATGAGACCAAACCTTAAGAAATAATAAGTTTACAATTTAATCAAAGTAGAGAAAAATTGATCTAATCAACTCACTTTTGTCAAATCAAATGGATTGAATCTGAAGTCTTTTGCCTGTTCGAAGGTCATAATTTGGACATGAAATGACCAAGATGGAAAGTCCCCTGAAGAGATCGCATTGTACAAATCTCTAATAGCATAATCAGGATCTTTACCAGCCAATTCATCGGCAAGTTTTGCATCTAAATTTTTGATTCCTTGATTGGTCTTGAGATGGAATTTGGCCCAAACAGGGTGACCATCAGAATTGACCAGCATAAATGTATGCGAACCATAGCCGTTCATGTGTCGATATCCATCAGGTGTTCCTCTGTCTGAGAAAAGGAAACTCACCTGATGCCAAGCTTCAGGTCGACTGCTCAGAAAGTCCCAAAACATATCAGCGTCTTTCAGATGAGTCTGTGGATTCCTCTTTTGAGTGTGAATGAACGAAGGAAAATGAATTGGGTCTCGAAGGAAAAATACTGGTGTATTGTTACCAACAAGATCCCAATTGCCTTCTTCTGTGTAAAATTTCACAGCGAATCCTCTTGGATCTCGAGCGGTATCAGCCGAACCAGACTCTCCACCGACAGTTGAGAAACGGATGAACAACTGAGTTTGTTTACCAACACTAATGGAATTGAATTGAAGTGAACAAATTATGAGACAGAAATTAATTAATCCAATCAACTTACTCTTTGAAAACAGCAGCCTTGCAATATTTGCGAATCTCGGGTGAGGTCACCTCGAAGTACCCGTAAGCACCCGCGCCCTTGGCATGAACAACTCGCTCGGGGATTCTTTCACGATCAAAATGAGCCAATTCTTCAATCAATTTTATATCTTGAAGCACAATCGGACCTCGAGGACCGATTGTCATTGAATTGAACTTTTCACCAACTGGACATCCTTCAATCGTTGTTAATACGTGTGGCTGACAATTAGTATGAAATGAATTGCATTTAAATGAAATTGAAAAATTGTTTCAAATAATTAATTGATTTGTTAATTATGAAAGTTCAATCTAATCGCAGTCTACACGCAAACAGAAAACATTAATGCTCATTTTAAACACATTGAAAAGCGATTAACTAGTAAATTATTGATTGTTTATGTTGAAAAAGGTAATTAAATAGAAACAAGATAATTAAGAAAAACAATTTAATCATCAAAATCAATTCCATCTTAATCTCTTCTCTCTTGTTTTATCTTTTCTCTTTTGTCCTTCATATTAATTGTTGATTATTCTCTTGTTTTTCTCAAACAAAATGTACATTTGGTCGAGGTTTAAATCATGCAGCTCAACAATTAGGTGACCACAATCGATTGGCAGAAAATTAGACTAACAAATGATCATAACAAAAACTCGATCATTAATACTAATCAATCAATCAATGGGATTTACAGCCAAAGACTGAGTTTGAACCCACTAGTTAAATCATTCAGGCAGTTAAGTTAATCAATGAGAGACAATTAGCCCAAGGAGACGAGGCCCTTTCACTTGAACCATCTAATCTCGCAGAATGGTCATCTGATTAGATATCGAAAGTTACCTTTACCTGAATATGATTACCTGCGCGAATGATTTAAAAAGTGATTGTTAACTCAAAGTCTTTGGCTGTAACAGTTAAATTGACATAATCAGGATAATGAAGAAATGAAAATGTCAATTTGTGTCACCAAATCAACTTGAGATAATTAAGACTCACCTTAGGTTGATGAAGTTGTTTGAAGTTCTTCAATTGGTCTTCAGCAGGTGTTCGATTATCCGACATGATTAGAACTGAATTAAAGTGACAACAATCTCTCAATGAATCGTTGATTCTAATTACAAATCTTCAACTCAACTAGTTTTATATTCCCAATCTCACCTAAGCTTCTACTCCATCTGGTGGTTTCTTTTTTCTCTTCACTTTCTGAATCCGAACCCAAATAAAACTTTTCGTCCAAAGTTTTTCCTCAATTTAATTTCTTGTATTGTGTTGCCTTCGTCCTTGACCTTTGCAACTAACGACCAATTGTTGGTCTGATCATTTAATAACTTTTGTCATTCAAAGTTAATTTTACTATTGTTCGTGTGGATCATTGGAACAATTGAATTTGTTTTATGCAGAGAAGGAAAGTCAATCATCTGATTAGTAACTTTCGATTTCAGTTCAATTAAATTAGAAAACAAAGTTTATTATTAACTTTTGTGCAATTTGTTCAGTTCGAAGCATCGACTAATTATGAGAGCCACCGATTGACGAAGTAGCACCGAAACGATCAAAACTTGATTAATCTGTTAATTGTAGAACAAGGCGAGATGATTAACCTTGATGATCATGAATTTACTGTGAATTGAACAACAATGAATCTTCTCAGTTCATTCACAACAAAATGTACCGAATTGTTTGTTTAATTGAGTTTTATTGTTGTTATCGAGTTCGTTTTCACTTATTTGGTCTGTTATTCTGATTTTCGTTCAACTTTGGCGGTGTGAAAATCCACCACTACACCGATTCAAACGAATGATTCAACTACGGATGTTAAACCCTTTTTCGATATTCTTGATCAATTTCCTTTTACTAGGCTAATCCAGTTCCTGACAGAGACAATTAAGTCATTTCCTCGTAATTCATGATTTCCAAATATGTACCTACGCTTATCCTTGAAAGTGAACAGAGATTTAGAATCCGCTAGAAACAACTTGTTATTTGTAATAGTTATCTGGTTTCTTTCACTTACAATTTGATTCATTTAGCTAATTAGCTTTGGTTGTAATTATCATAGTTTTACTTTCATGAGTTTCAATTCCAGAAGTTCTGTCATCGCAATATAATATATTTGTTTTGGCATCGATGGTTTCACAGAGAATTCGAGCAATCGAATTATAATTAGTTCAAAATGATTTATAATCTCATGTGAACAGACCAGTTGATCCATGAACTTTTCAGGAAAACTATGTGAATGCTATTGAATCTCTTAATTCACAAAATTAATACGAGTGTAAATTTGATTATTGTAACTCTGAAAAGATGATCAATTTAAGAATACAAATATAAATACAGCCACGAAAAATTAGATGAGAACAAAAATTATATCAATTGCGCATAAAGAGATAATTTAATCAAAATTAAAAGAAAATTTTAATTGATTTAAATGGAGAGTAATAGAAAAATGTAATCACAATTAGAAAAAAGTTATCTCTCTATGCTTATAAGGCATAATTTTTGTTCTCATCTCATTTTTCGTGGCTGTATAAGAGTGTAGCACTTAACAAGTTAAAAAAAGGGAGGTGTAAGAAAAGGTTAATCTTACCTGAATTTGGTGATTATGAAGATGATTAGAAGATGAAGATGTAAACAATAACAATTAGATTCGATACAATCGATCGATTGATTTATAAATAAAACAATTTAATGTTTTTGTTTTTGAGTATATCAGATCAATTGAAATATTTGTACATATGAAATTCGTGGACTTATTATCACTCAGATGGATAAATACATTTTAGAAAAGGAGATGATCCATCGAAGAGATTAACATAAAACTTGATTTGATCAAAAATTAAAATAGAAATAGAAAAGGATATTTAGTATCTAATGTTCACTTGAATCGACCAGCGATCATAAAATGCATTTACACGTGAAATGTTTAGCCAACGCCATGTGTTCGACTGGAAATAGAAACAAAACTCATAATAGTAAAAATTGTCGATAAAATCTGTTGGAATTTTCTTACCTAATTTATCAGCCTCAGTAAATTTCCGCTTACAAAGACAGATGAACGCAGGAGATTTATGGTGGGAAGTTCTGGCCGAATGGAGGCAAATGTGATTCTTCACAGCGAACTTGCAATGCGATTCCATTTGCATATTATACAAACGACAGGATTTTCTGAAAAGTGTTTTGGTTGTACTTTCTTTTTACATTCCATACATGTTAAATTCAAAGTTGTTACAAGTTGATTAAATTTTTCTATTAATAGATTAAAAGTAAATGGTGAGATTAATTATAAATCGCTAATCAATAAACCAGTCGATGATTTGACAACTTACTCAAGGTCAATCTTTGCTTACTGAGTCCATTTTTCTTCTCATAAAAGTGGCCATTTGGTTGATTAGACTTCACTTCAACTACCGATGGAGACAAGAGCTCATCACGATTCACGATGGTACTCAAATCAATTTCTTTATCTTTAAGTCTGTAAGGGACAAAATCTGTAGAGTAAACAAAATCATTAGAAGCTTGAATTTCATGAGATATTAGAATTTAAGGTACGGTCTCACCTAGACCAGCACAAAAGTGGATGTAACCACGGTCGTAATCATAGTCGGTTGTTTTTTTTAAGCCCATTTTTCAAAAATTTTCAAAAAACTAACAAAACTAAACGAAAACACGCCTTCAAATGATTAAAAATTTGCCGATAGAGGCACTAATAGAGGCAAGAACAGCCGAGATATTCAAAAAAGTGGCTCCCTCTTTGATCCGGTTGACCTAATAGAACTCACTTTGTTGATAATTGGATGGATTTCCATGATCAGCAATCAGGTGCTCAACCTTTTCGATTTCATTAATAAAGGTTAAGGTACACCGAAAACAACTGAAAGTAGATCCAATTTTAACGTGCTCATTAATATGATCCACGAGAATTACGGATAATTCATCCAATGAATCAAACATGACGAGTTTCAAACAAACTGGACAAAGAATACTTTTCGACTCGAAGTGATACTGAAAAATAGAGATTCATATTAGAGAACGTGGAATGAAATGGTTGATAAACGTCGCAAATGAACTTTACTTTATCAAAATGTATTAGAACATCTCTTTGGAACGACGAACGATATTTACAAATGGGACAAGCATAAGGCGCTTCTCTTGGCCAGTGATTGCTCTTCATATGCTTCAAGTATTCACTTCTCTCGTAAAAGGACACGCAACAAATCCTACAGCTTAAAGAAATCATATTCGTACTGATCTACAAAAGATTAATGGATTAAACGATTAAAATCTGGATAATATTTTATAAAAGAACTTACCAATTCTCTGTGTAGATGCATTTCTTCCGGAGAAAAATCTTTGAAGCAATGACTACAAAGAATACGAATTAAAGAGCAGTTCGAAAATGGATTAATAAGATGTTCAATTATGTGTCTCGATATGTTGGCCTTGCAGAAATTCATTTGGCATAAAATACAAATTATATTCGAAACGGGTTTAAAGTTAGACTTTCGAATTTGTCCATTAAGAGGATACCACCAACCATAGAAATATTCATCTATGTAATATTCATCAACTTTCGATCGGAATTTTTACATGGATAAGAATCTTGTTGATTAGCTACAGTTTGCAACCATTGAAGTCGAGGATCAATTGAGAGTTCGTGCTCTTGGGAAAAGAACTCAGAATTTTTCTTGATCCAGTCATCATCTAACTGCTTCGAATTTTTGTAAAAAGCATCAACCTTGATTTTCTCAATGATACAATTTCGATCCAGTGGATCAGTAGCTAGATGAGTATTTATGTTCTGGAACGCAGTGTATGGATCATAACCGTACTTTTCTCTCCATTCTAATTCGTACAATATTAATTTCATCGACTGGCAATCTAGAGAATTTAAATTGATATTTTTCAACATTCTTTTCAAATGGAAAATTATATAACTCCCTGCAGAGTTTTCAATGGTCTCATCGTCTAATTTAAGGAAATCTTTTTTCGTTGCAAATGATATTTTGTATCCATAAGACACTAAACTTTCGAACTTCATCTCACAAATCAGAACCTCGGAAGGAACTGCGATCCATTTTCTGCATTTATCGACGAAGAGATTAACACCTAAATGAGCAGCATCGATTATTTCATCTTGATCGAAACATGTTATTCTTATGGCTTTTGTTTTAGTTTCCATGACAGTTAATACGAAAAGATGTCCTAACTTGATACTGACCACTTCGACCGGATGGCCATCAAACGAAGCTAATTTGGTATGATCACGACTAATTATTCGCCCACAAAGTGATTGTAAAGATCTATACACCGAATATGTGTCACTTATCATATAATCTTCCAAGACTGATAATGACGATTCGACATTCTCATCTCTTGACGACCAACAATAGATCAGAGAAAACACTTTGCGAATAGATTTCATCTTATTGAATGAGAACGGAAGTTTCAGAGATTTCATGACACCGCATCTGAATTAAAAAAAGAAAATGGTTAGTAAAGAGCGAATTGAATAGTCCAAATAGTCTTACCCACAGATCCAGAAATTGTCGATTCTATCATCAGATGAGCCATTTTCTTCTTGAATGGACATTTCAGTCTTACAATTCGGACATGATGGCTGAGGAATTATTCTCTTCTTGATCATCCATTGTGTAGGACTGGATTGGAATGTCGAGTTATGAACCAACTTTTCTGAAAGTTCATGAAAATATTAATACATGAGAATGAATTTTATCGAAAAAACATAAGAATCGTTCGCTATCACCTAATTTTATGAGAAATCTTGATAAGTTTGACGCTTTAGGCCAAACGAGCGGCAAAGGTTTTATACTGACGACAGTTTTCTCGTTGATATCCTTGTATCCATTTCCATATATTTGCGCTAACGAATTGAGTAATATTGATAATTTAATTTCTATTTTGTTTTTGTTGAATTTAATTCGTTGAGAACGAGTAGGATAACTAGAGTATCGGCCATTTGGATCGCGACTGGTCATGTTTCCAAATTTTCCTGATGTTCTCTCGTTTCGCCAATTCTAAATTTGCATATTGTAAAAGAGTTTTGATAATAGTAAAATTAGAATAAATAAATTGACCACCTGATCGATTGTTGTGTTAATTTGAATGAAGCGCAAAAGCAAAAGCACAAAATCGATTGGCTGTTGGAAAACATTTCTTGTTGTTTACTTGAGACTCTCACAGATCAACACATGGACTTTTCTTAGTTGATTGACTTGAACAATTAATCAACTAATTAACGATTAGTCTTGATCAGAATGAATGAAATGAATGAAATGAACGAAATGATTGGAGATTAATTGTAAACATGGAACAATCAACGCATGAAAATCGACAATTGGTTTCTGCTCTTTTGGTAAGTATCTTGATCATCTAATTGTCTGATTGTTCAACTGTTTACCGATTGTGATTTTCTTGATTCTGTTTGTGGTAAATCAATAGTCCGGAGCAATCGCTGGATTGTCTGTTGATTTGGCTCTATTTCCATTGGATACAATCAAGACTCGATTGCAAAGTCAATTCGGTTTCATAAACTCTGGTGGATTGAAACAATTGTACCGAGGATTAGGATCGGCGATGATTGTATCTGCTCCTAATGGTGAGTTAATTTAGTTTGGTGTTGATATTATGTGTTGATATTAATGAGGATTAACAATTGATGAATAGCCGCTGCTTTTTTCAGTGTTTATGAAGCATCTAAAAGGATGACGATTGACCATCTCAAGGAACCAATTGTGAGCAACATGGTCTCAGCTTCACTTGCAGAAACAGTAAGCGAATCCAATTGAACTGAATTGCGATCCATTGAATTGAATGAATGATGCAACTAATGACTCGACTCTCGTTCTCAGGCTGCATGTTTGATTCGTGTACCAGTGGAGGTAATCAAACAACGAACCCAAGCATCGAAAGTCTCCAGTGGAATTATATTGAAAGAAGCTCTTCGAGAGGAGAAGTTGATTGGTCTTTATCGAGGTTTTTTGTCGACAATATCTCGAGATGTTCCTTTCGCTTTGATTCAATTGCCTCTTTGGGAAGAACTGAAATCAATTTGGTGCAGATTAACCGGACAACCATTAGAAGCTTGGGAATCGTGTGTTTGTGGTTCGATATCCGGACTAACGGCCGCACTGATTACCAATCCAATCGACGTTGCCAAGACTCGTATCATGCTCGCAAAGAAGGACAATAAGTATGGAAGAGTAAATTTCTTGTCGGTGATACGAATAATTTGGAAAGAATCGGGACTGAGAGGATTATATTCTGGTGCTACTCCTCGAATAACTTTCATCACCATTGGTGGAGCAGTTTATTTGGGGGGATATGATTTCTCTAGGAAGTTGATTGATCATCTGTTGATTGCGAGTTGATGGTCAATAGTCAAACCAAAGTTGTAGTTTCTCTCTTGGTTTACATGTATTATTAGTCAGAATTGTTTACTTTTCTATTTCCATTTCTATTATCATAGTCATTAGATCATTAAACTATTTACCTAAAATTGTTACAACCAATCACTTCTTCAGGCTGATAATTCATTTCATGGTTAATGAGTCGAACTTCATTCTTAGACTTAAAATAATGATCAGTATTGATTAGTTATCATACTCACTCTGTTATTGTTACAATCGTATCTTCAATCTTATCAATAGCACAGATAAAAACAAAGAAAACACTTTAGGTGAATCATTAAATTGATTATGATAAATGAAGTGATGATTAAGATGATCTGCCAATGAGATGACAAGCTCTCTAATTGCACTCAACAGTTATAACAAGAAAACATGATAAAACTTTTTCAGTTTCTGGTCGATTTAGTTGATCAAAATTGTTCAAATTCAATCAATAAAAATGAAAGTAAAAAGTAAACAAAATGCGAATTCAGTGCCATCTGTTAGCAGCACAATTCTTCAGTTTAAATCAGAAATCTTAATGAATTTAATGGAATCGAGTGAAGATTTGATTGGAAATAGATTTAATCATATGAAACATGCGATTCTTGACTATTGATTGGTTATCATTGATGAGAAAAATTCATTAATGAAAATTGAAACATTTGATGAGAAAACAACAGAAATAGTGAGAAGACGAATCTGTAGATGGAGCAAGTGAAGTAACAATCTGATGATGAATGGAAATGATTCAAAGTTTTAATCAACTGATTTAATTTTATGGTAAATTCCATCCAAACCCAATTAGATTGGTTGGTAATTCCAATCTGAAGAGACAAGCGAATTGAGACTGAAATGTCAACTAATTTTCCTCTTGATGAACATCCTATTTACAAGTCAATTTCAAGTTCTGTTGAGTGGTAAACAATTAAACTGAATAATATGATAAATTTGATAAAATTTATCATTTCAAGTTGTCTACCAATTATCAAGATTGTATTAAAAGCTGAGCTTTGATTTGATACGAATCTTAAATACAGAGGAAAAAATTGAATAGCAATTAATTTGCTATTAATTATGCAATTAGTTGAATGATTGCGTGATTTAAAATGAAGAACGTAAATAAACATAAGAGTAATCGAAGGCAATTATTTAATCATGATGATGCTTTAATTGTTTCTAATCCTTTTAATGATTACATTTACTCTTGAAAATTTGCTCGCAATTAAATTCACAATAAGGTAAACACTTTTTTTTCCTTCCATTTTGATGAATATGATTAGTGACATGAGAAAAATAGTTTAATCAACTTACGACTTGATGTGATCAAAGAAACGACAAAAATAAATTGCAACAATTAATCAATTAGATTTGGTTTGCTTACCTCTAATATTAATAAGATTGCCAAGGACAAAAGTTAATTCAGTTGTAATTTCAAACTATTGACTGATTTTCATGACAATGAATGAAATCAAACATTTCAACTGTTTTAATTTAATAATACGAATTAAAAAAAGTTAATTGTCATCAACCCTAAATACTATTTCCGTTAATTGGATGAAAGTAAATAAATAAGTTTGTCTATGCTTTAAATTTCCAGTAATTGAATTACAATCTTGAAAAGGAAATGAATTGATTATTGTTATGTCATAATAATCTAAATGATCAATCATCAAGTTAATTCTTATCGTTGTCGATATTAAAGAGACACAAATAAAAACATGATAATCAAGTGATTAACTTTAAACAAGGAATCAGCAACTAATCAAAACAGTTATTGATAAAATTCATGACAAATTGAATTAATCATGATAATAATAGAAAAGTAGGAAGAGAGAGAAAATAAATAAACACCTGATCGGTAATAGTATTTACTTAATCACAATCTAATCAACATCATAACCATCAGACATTGTGTTCAAATCTGATTAACTCAATAAACAATCAAAATTAACCAGGTAATCAAAAATCGAGTCTTCAATTTGTTCATCTTCAAATTACTAATTGATTGAATTGACCTACAAATAGTTTTCAATTAAAAGGTTTGATTGATGTTCATTGGATCAATATCATCTGCAGTTCAATAAACAAAGCATGATAATTACCTGGACACGGTCAGTTAATTAGATTGTCAAGGAAACCAGAGTTTTGCCATGAAAATTAACAAATAATTTAGCAGCTAAATGGCCAAGTAAACAAGTCACATTGCCTTTGATTTAGTTTCAGTGTAAATTCAATTGAATAGTGAGTTAATTGTGATGGGACTTCGTCGTCGTCGTCGCTCATCAGCTTCATCATCTGATGGTTTGATTGATTTCGACAAAAATGGATTGAATCAACGACCATTCAAAGTGGTTTATGCTCGCAAAAAGAAGCCCGAATCAAGATTATCAATAACAATCCAGGTGAGGATTAAGACTGTTTAATATTAATGAGAAAAGTTCTCAATTTAATTAATTGTCTCAATTTTCTGCTTTTAATTGCAGGTCCTTGCAGTCATTTTCTCTGCAGTGTTAACTTATTATGTTTACTATCATTTTGATCATTTCCATTTTAATTTAGTTCATTTTTATGCGACTAAACTAGACGATCCTAATGCTCAACATGCACTCGGACATAAATTGTTGAAAAAAGGTGAAAATCAATTAGCAGCATTTCATTGGTTCCGTAAATCAGCATCAAAAGGAAATCCTCATTCGGCTTACAATTTGGCTGCTGGACATTTGAGTGGATATCAAACTGACCTCTCAAAAGGTAATTATCATTATCATTAGTATCAACACGACCACAATTCCAACACTTAATTGTCATAATTAACACCAATCAGTATTATTATTATTACAGAATTGTATCGTCAGATTCAATTGATATTTAATTACCGAGCAAAGTTATTTAACTATTTCTTATAATGGAAACAAAGTTTGTTTTTTGCTGACAATTTATTAGTCTTCATAATCATCTCAATGTCACCGATCAAGTGATTAATTGATTTGTCAAATTGAGATACTAGTTAATTGTTATCAACTTATTTGAGTTTTCGGTGAATTTTGTTGCTTTTGATTGATAAATATCGTGTTTATAAAAAAGTTGTAATCAAGAGTAAATAACAATTAACTGATTGTCCTCAACCTACTTGATTTAAGGGGAAAACAATCAGAATTAGTGATTTATTTAATTTAGTTTGATTTTTAGTAACTGTTACTGGATTAAGGAAACAATAACACATATAATTACAAGAATTTGATAGTAAACAATCAATTAATCAACTAAACAACTAACTGGTTAATGATAATTTAAATTAAACACCATAAATTAAGTGGAATCAAATATTATCGTATTTTAATTGTGGCTAGTTAATGAAAAATCATAAACGTTAACTTTTATCAACAATTAATGATAACTTTTAACTGGCTCAAGGTTAATAATTAGTCTAATTAAGATAAATAACAAATATGATTATTGTTGTTGTTAAGTTAATTGCAATTAAAAGAGGGAACATTGAACGGGACAATAAACCAATTGATTAACAAGTAACTTAATCAGTTTGTAATCTAATTACACTTTTTTGCAATTTGAATTTAGAGTTAATAATATTGAATGTGAACAAACTGCAATAAGAATAAAATATTGACGATTGTTGATGTTTAATTGCTTTGATTATGATTTAGAAGATAATTGTAACTACTTGGCATAAAACTGAATTCTCAATCAATTGATTCGATTGTTTTTTTCTATTTCAGGTGAAGCCAAGAAGCTACTGGAGTTCGCAGCGAAACATAATGTCGCTGAGGCTCATCAGCTGCTCCATGATCTTTGTTACGATAAACCAGAATTTTGTGAACATTGAGACAAGTTAATTGTTTGTTTCGACTGTTCAACCAACATTATCTCATTGATTCATTACATTGGATAGATAAACAATCACCGGAATCATAAGGTTTACCACAAACAATTAGTATCTGAATAAGAATCAAAGTTTAATTTAATTGTTCCACCCAAAGTTTACATTGTGTTATTTTAATTGCTACGATCATTATGATTGCACAATAAAAACATTAATACAAATATAAATGGACAATTAGCTGGATTAGCAGTTTGTTTATACAACCATAATGATCAAGTTAATTATTTTATTCATTTGCTTGCTGATTAACTAACTAATCAACTCACATTGAATTGGATCGACTTTTGTTTGATGAAAATACAAAACGAAAAAAGTTTAAAAATAAGTTAATTGATTGATGTTTTTTTTTGTTGTTAATCATTTTACAATTTAAATGATTTATCTTGTTATTCAATGAATTTGATTGTTATTCTAATTGTTAACAATTGATTCTGATTATCTGGTCATCACTGAATCAGCAAAAGATGAACAACAGGTTGAGGTGTTTTTGTTGATCGAAACCAGTTTGGGTTCGGTTGGGTCATTCTTCAGGTTATCATGTTGCTGGACCTGAAATTCTGACTGAAGGTGTTAAGTGAATGATTCAGTTTAGAAAAGTTCATCATTTGAATTATCATGTTGGCAGAATAAGAAAAAGGTGTTTGTTATCATGATAATGATTCATCATCATCTGAGAATTAGTTAAACTTGTTTGTGATTAAGTAAATCACGGGTTTTGATTATGTTGTTGGTTTAATTGCTTTTGATTAATCACAAAGAGCAAATAAATTATCCCAATGATTTACATGAGACTATCATTACAATCGGGTGATAATTTTGTAGCTTCATGAATGATCAGTTGAAAGAAGAGACTGAAAGGAGAATCAAATTAATCATCAATCTGATCAATTAAAATCATCTGATTCATTTAATCTAATTTAAACCATTTCAATTGTTTCATCACCGGTGATTTAATTTATCAGTAGGTAGATTAATTGTAGTGTTAATTGTCAACAACGAAACATTGTTATCGTAATAATAACATTTCAAGGTTTTTCTATCAACTCTTTCATTTCTTAATCTTCCTTATTGATTAACTAATCAACATGAGAATCAGTCGATTCTCAAGGTTAACCTAACACAATATTAGAACCATGATCAGGGTAATAAATCAACAGGAATAAAAACAAAATTAATCTAAATAGACTGTGATAAGAATTGTTAGTTAATCATTAATGATTATTGCGAGAGTGAAGCAAAAAACAAACAACATAATAGTCGATCTAATAATAAACAGTTAATTGTGAATCAAATGAATTTACAATTAGTATGAAAGAAGCAAATGGAGAGAGAGAGAGAGAGAGAGAGAGAGAGAGAGAGAGAGAGAGAGAGAGATGTTTTCATCATGGAAACCAGAATATGAATCAGGCCTGAGCGATGGAAGAGAAAAAGTGAAAGTGAACAAGGTGAGGGGAAGAGGAAGAAGATGATGATGAGGTGACGACAGGTAAGTAGACAGAAAGAAGAGAAAGAAGAAGAGAAAGAAGAAGAGAAAGAGAAGATAAATGATTTGTATCATTGGTTTGGTCTTTTTTTCTCTTCATCGAGATTCTCATGACTTATCATGTGAAATAGAAAGTACAACATTTCACTTACTCTTCTTCTCTTTCTTTATCATCTTTCCTTGTTTGGTGTTGTTATGAAATCTTCAAAATCATCTTCATGTTCAACCTTTTTGCTCTATGCTTATGGAATCACGTAAACCTTGTTGTTGATTGTTGATGAGTCGCAATCACAATCAACTTCAAGTCAATCAGAATGAGAGAAAAATTTGTTTGTAAACAAAAACATTAACCAGGCAATTTAAAAGCTCCAATCAATTAACAGAATTTGTATCTTTCAAACCAAGGTATTGATCCTCTAATTGTCTTTACTAATCAAGGAAAATGATTACAACTATTGGCGACGATTAAGGCAATTACTCCTTCTTATTACCCAATAAAAGATTCATGGGCAAAACAAAAAGCCGAACGTTAATTATCATGATAACAAAAGTGTTCGTTCATCAGAAAACATGAAATTATTTCGCAAAAAGATGTTGATTGTTGATCACAAGACGAACACTTTAAATTCAATCACAATCATAATCTAATATTCATCATTTTACCTTAGCAACAGCCGAACAAAAAGTAACCTCAACATGATCTTTTCTCTTTCTCTCTCTCTCTCTCTCTCATCATCTTCTTCTACTCGTTCCTCTTTCCCTTCTCAAGGTCAAAAAATAAACCAAAATGAAGATAATCTTTCATCTTCTAGATGAAAACTCACCTCAAACAACAACAAATGAGAAATAAAGACAATCCTTTTTCAAATGTTGTTTCTTTCTAATAGTAAACATGATCATCTCAATTCTTCAATGGAATCACAACTTTTCTGTTACACATTGAAAAAGAGGAATGGGAATATTCTAGAATTTCCCTGACTCAAAGAGAGTAAACAGAATTGCGACAAAGAAGAAAGAAGAACCGAAAGAGAAAAAGAAAGAGGAAGATCAATGACATACTTGTCTTTCTCTTTCTCTTTCCCTTTGTTGTTGTTGTTGCTCATCAACATGACGAGAGAAACAAAGAGAGCGAAGGAGCGACCGCGAGATGGAGCAACTTTTGTTCTTCATTCATTCTCATTGGCCAATCGAGAAGATAAAATAAAATTTTAGTTGTTATTTTGTTCAACATTGTTGAGGTTCACCTTTTAAAGATAATAAAATGCTTTGGTTAATTAATGAGAAATTGATAATCAACATAAAAGATCAAGAGATCTTATTACTTTTCGAAGGTGAGAGAATTGATTTTCCAATTTTCGACACGGAAGATTGTTGGTTTAAATTTCTTGGCTTAAAATGTGAAGTTATCATCTGTGTAACTAAATACAATATTTTAAGACAAATCGAACTTCTCAACCACCTCTTGGATTATTTCACCTTTAAAAACGTTTTCAACTTCAAAACCATTCCCATCGGAAATCTCTCAATCAACAATGATTTTGTTATGATCTTAGATGAAGAAATGGAGATAATGACGAGAAAATGAAAATATTTTTGAATAAGAATCACAAATTTGAAATAAATCTACCTATTTGACAAAACTTTAATTTTTTATCCGAAAAGAAACTATTTGACAAACAGAATGAATTAAGAAGAATAACTTTATCTTGACAAATGGTAATCCAAATAAATAGTTTTGATTGTCCTCTCATTTTTGGCCAATTCTCTTAGAGTACGATTAAAGATTACATTGCAGCTAACCAGATCTCGCAAATGTTTTTTCCCACAGGTTCGACAGTGATATCCTTTACACCCAGTGGTATGTGCTGGATCGCCACAACGAAAGCAAATTAAAGTCGAAACACATTGATGATCCAAAGTAACCCTTCCTTTGCACTTGAAGCATTGGTACAATCCGATGTCATTAAATAGATAATAAATCTCTTCATTAAATGAGACCTCCATACCTGGCAGAATTTAAGAAAACAAATTGAAAGTTTAAGAAAGAAAATTCTCAAAAGGTGAGAATAAAAGTTATACTTACTTCTTTTTAAAAGCCGTTTCATCCCTTCGAATGTTACCTTTATCCTCACCAAATCCAACTCATTAAACCTCTTCGTCTCATTGTAAAAGAAATCTTCACTTGTTAACCCAAATTGTCCACCAATGTTTGTAACAAATTCAACATCCGTATGAAGAGATTCTCTTCGGTACACACACACGTTAAAAGTTGTCTCAATATAATCGGTTACATTTAAAATGTACCTACGGGTACCACAGATTTCTTTAAAATGAGCAACCAATGTTCGAGAAACGGTCACAATTAATCCACCATCAACTTCACTTATTAAATTTGTAACAGCAAGAACAGCCAAAATGGGCCGATCGATCATCAAACGACTTCTAAAAGAGGCCATATCATTCATGGTACGTGAATAATTTGGAGTCACCATCAAATAAATGTAAATGTTATCCTCTGGTATTGGGACATGGGTATTACTGAAAAGTTCCATTAAGTTGTTCACAAATGTAGAAATAATTTTAGAAATTAAAAGAAATTAAATAAATGAAAATATCACAAATAGTAAATTGATACAAATTATTTCAACAGAAAAATTTTTTTGAAATAAACAAAGAAGAAGAAAATCCTTTCCGGTAGTTTCATCTATAAAACCATAGAGGGAACCACTTTCAATTGATTTAACCGGAAAAGGAGAATAGGCCATCTTGGTTAAAGGTAAAAATCCAATCGACCCAAATTCCAATCAAAATTTTCAATCTTATCGGAATCAACATTAGGATCAACCTCAACACAAACATATTTTATACCAACGAACTTCTCCTCTAAATAAAAAATATAATCTCTTGAAATTATACCATTTCCAAGGACCTTCTCAATTAAAGGTTGAGATTTAACACAATCAAACAATGGAATTAAATTTCCCTTTATGAATAGTAACATTCGACGAACAGCCATCTTACAACGGAAAGCTCTAGTCACCTCCATGGTAACACGCACTCTTCCCTTACCCTCATCAACTCGATACCCAATTATATCATCAGCAAGTTGACCATTAGGAAGAGCTACAATTAATTTGAAAGAATCAGTAAAAATATCTTCACCTTCGAACAAATAGAAATATACATAATAACTTTTGGATTTTACACCACATGAAAGAGACATTTTATTTCTATCACAAAACAAAAATAAGGAAATTTTGAGAATGAGCTTGAACCAGAAGAAAAATTTTTTCCTTTTTCACTCCATGTCAACTGATGTTGTAAACAAACGAGCGGTTAATTTAAAATTTCCTGTTTTTCCAACATCAACTCGCTATATATGTAGTCAATTCTACCAAGGGCCTTTTCCATTTGTCTGATGAACTCATCACATTGAATTGAATTTAAAGAGTGTCCTATCCCTCCGCATCCGCCACAATGAACCTCAGTCGCTAACTTTACACTGCATTGATCGACACCATGTGTTGATAAACATCGAAAACATCTTTTTTCTCTTTTACAACTCCTTAGATTATGTCCAAAACGATGACAATTTCGACAAATGCGAATATTCAAATTGTCAACACATCGAATGTCCTTTCCTTCCAATTTCAATTTGAAATTATCAACTTGTATCCTCGTCCTGATTATTGGATCAACGGAAAGTAAAACGTAATAACTTTTCTCACCACGGAGCACAAAATCTACACAACAATATCCACCGACAAAAGCTTCATTCTCGGTTACCAACTTTTCTTTCAATAGATTAGAATAGATTAAACTTGAATCATATTCATTTTTAGGAATGATTAACTTGAGCATCGGACGGATTAAAACTTGGTCAGTCATTAAGAGGCCACTTATTTCACCTCTGACCAATTGAATGAAATTATCTCGTTCCTCTTCCTGCGAGAAAGCCAACCGCAAACAATTGTAACCAATTTCATATCCGATTCCAAGTTTACGTAAATAAGCCTCAAGAACACATAAAACTTGATGAGGATTCTGATAAACACTGTTGACCATCCTTTTCACAATCAATATTTTTTTCCTTTTAAAACATGAAACATTTAAAGAAATTACGAAATCATCAATTAAAGTTAAAACTAATTTCTCTTTTATTAAAGACATTTTTCTTTCTTGTGATTAAAACAATTCTTCATGATCGACACACGGTTTAAAAACATTACCATGACAACCTTTCAACCGCGCAATTAAAATTAAGACTGATCTGCATTAAAAAACCTTTTTGACAAAGGAAAAAGCATGATCAAGAGACTATTATTTAAATCATTACGTTAACATATTTATGATTTATCTGCTCCAATTCTTCCTTAAGATATCGTTGATAAATCGGGCAATCTTTGTCATATCCATTATGATCCTCACGATGACAATTAGGACATTTGTACTTTCCAGGACATCGACGATTTGCACAATCACGGGAAGGATGATTAGATGAACAGTATGAACAAACAGGCAAGCGGAAACAGGAAGCCTTACGATGTCCATAACGACAACAATGATCACATCTGACCAAAGTGAAGTGGTCCAATGCTCGCAATCTACCATTAGATGTATAAACAAAACCATTCCTCTCCTCAAGAAGTGATCGAATACGAGATTCAACCTGTAGGATGACACGATACCCAAACTTAGTCTCCATTGAAGTTATCCAAGTAACCTTTAGACCTTCATTCCAATCATTCCACCTTCGTAGATCATCCACCCACTTAACCCAGAATTCACTATCTAGATCAGTAGACCCACGAGTAATAAAAACTCTTTCAATCCTTATCAAAGGATCACGTACACTTGGTATCTTTACTTCGAACTTCTTTTTAAAATCAGAATCACCATTCAAGGCAATAGCCAACTCAGAACGCCCTTTAACTCCAGAACATCGGATTTTTAAACAAAACTTCCCGATGGTAATCCTATCAATACTCTTGGCACAGTTAAGCCTAGATAGGATCTCCTTCACTTCATCACAAATTGATAATCCAGCTTCCTTGGAAAGAGGAAAAACAAGAAGAGTCGGTAAAAGCACAAATCCCTCCACGTTTAACCAAGTACTGGGGCGTTCCTGTCCATCCGAAAAACGAATATGAACATCTCGAACATGTTCGGAAATACTCCTTTCAGCACCCAAATCCACGGTCCTCAATCTTTTAAACCTAATTTCAGTTACCTCATCCTCCACTAGTTTGGATTTCCAATTCTCATACTGTAACAGGAAACTTTGGACAATACTTCGGACATCCTCAGGTTGACCAAGATAATTTTCATCTCGAGAATTGAAATCGTTTATAACACTCAAGAGTTGATTAAAATCATCTTCGCCATATACGAGTAGTAGCTCGTTAAAAACATCATCACCAGTATAATCCAACATAAACTTCTCAATAATGAGAAGGCAAGAACCAAAATCACTCATTGATGAATCAGCTTGCAAACCCTCAACATCTTCCAAACTAAGAGTATCCTCACTGTGTGGTCTTTTAGACATTGTTAATCTAACAACAACAAATTGTGAAATGAACCTTCTAAGTATAAACTTACAACACTCCTCAAAAAATTACTCCCACTTTATCAACTTACAGAAAACAAAAAATGACTTCCTACTAATCATGTGCGAACTCAACGAAAGGACAGTAACTGATAAAGAAGTGATCTCGAACGGTAAAGTTGCTATTTCCCCGTTCAAAGACTTACAAATTATTAGACATTTCCACACCAAAGAAGACATCCTTCCAACTCTGATCTACAAAAAAGAAATTGGCTTTATCTGGTTGATCGCCGTCTACAGATCCTCAACTAACCACAATTTCTACAACGACTTATCTGAAATCCTGACCAAATTGTGCGAATTTCCAATTATTATTGTTGGCGACATAAACTCAGAAGATCTAATATGGTGTGCAGAGCCCAGAATTAGGAATAACGGGTCTGTAGAAGATTTTAAAAACCTTACAAAACTCTTAAGAAAACTTAATTTTAAATCTATTCTAGATAGAAACCGTAGTACGGGATACACAAGATTAAGTAAACAAACAAGATCAATAATTGACATTATAATAACCAACTTTGATAATTTAAATCAGTCACGAATCAGAAATACTAACTTTAGTGACCATAGAGCAATTTTAGCAAATATAAAACCAGTTAGTCCCCTCAACAAAATAAATTTATCCATAACTAAATTTAAATACAAAGAGATCAAATATGAAAACATTGAAACTACATCAAGAAAAATCTGGTTATCTCCAATAGTTAACAGATATCAAACAAGAATCACCCGAAATTTCAACCCAATTCCAATCGAGAAACTCAAAAACAGTGATTTCTTTACGTTAATTAAGCACATCAACAGAGAAATTAATCTTGAATATCTAATCCCAACTAACAAATTAAGAATTGAAGACTACGTTTACAGTAATGAAATATTCACCGTCAAATACTCGAAAGGTATCAGTGAAGAAGAAAAGGAGAAAATCAAGAAAATGAATTTTAATTGTTCTTCATCATATTCGGATGACTTTAGATATTACGAGTGGAACAAATTTAAGAAACTTAACCTTAACACTATAACTAAACTCATAGACGATATATTTAAATGTGGAAAAATTCCCACAAACATGAAAATTAGTGGAGGAGTTAAAATTCCCAAAACGATTGGCTTTCGATTAATTCGATGCCAATCTTTCATCATGAAAATCATCGATACCATAATCTCTGACAGAATCAAATCTAAAATCGAACAAATCATCGACTCGAGTCTCCAATTCGCCTTTATCGAAGGATCAGATAGAATTAACCTTCTACTAGAATATGAAGAAAACAATACAAACTACAAAAACTCATATCTCATGGACATCACCAAAGCTTTCGACCTTATCGATAAGAATCACATTTTCAGGAAACTCTACAATAAAATTGATGATCAAACCCTAGAGATTACAATAGATTTCTTCAATGAAAGAAAAACTAGAATCTTCGAGGGGAAGAATTTCGAACTGATTAACGAAGATAACTCCTTACTTCAAGGAACATCATTGTCACCTATCCTTTTCTGCATAGGTATTGACGATTTCCTGAGAAAATTCAACCAAATCGACATTCGGATTGTATCTTATGCCGATGATCTACTTATACTTAATAATAAAACCATAGAAGAAATTCTGGAAGAAATTAACCCTGAACTGAATAAGATTGGACTTAATATTAATCCAAGTAAAATTACAACAATTAAACTAAACAATAAACAATTACCATCAACTCTATTAGGTTATGAGATGAAATTTGCCTCATATACTAATAGATACAAAAACCGAATTAATAACAAAACAATTAAGATAATTAGAAAACTCAACATTAAACAACAAATTGAACTTTTCTCAACTTATTTGAACAGCTCTATGCATCATTTAGGTACGTCCCCCTTCAGAAACAACAACAATTACTTAATCACCATAAAACAATTAATGACTTACGGGATGAGTAAACTGTTTATCCAAACTTATGGAAAACTTAGAATCAATTCTTGGTTTGGCTATATAATAGGCCTTAAGAACCCGTGTCTTGAATATTTAGTTCAATTAATCTTTAACCTCTTGAAAAATGATATGAGTGAAACTAACTTTCCAATAATTAACATCATGAAAACATTCAAACTCATCGAAAACAACAAATATACAAACAACTTAATTGCGAACTCAAAACCTACCGCGATAATGGAAATTTTGAGAAAAAGAAACTTTCTTTGCATAACTTTCATTAGTCTCAGATTACACCATCATCACTATTATTATCAAAACTCCAGCACTCTTATAAATATTATAAACAATATTCTCAAAATGAATAAACATTACAACATCTTAATTGTTTCCCCGAACGCGATACCCAACATAGAAACAATTAAAAACTTAGCTCACAAAGAAAACACCATTATCACATACAAACAACAGAAAATTAATTGCAATAGCAATAAAGATTTAATAAGAATTAAACATCAATTACTTACAACAAAAGATTTCAAAAACAAAATAAGGAAAATAATAGAAAACGTCCAGACTAAAATATATACAATGGAAAGTCCTAATTACTTCAAACTAATGTTTCCCAATGGCAATCTTTTCTTCAAAGAAAACAGTAATCTGAACCCCTATCATCTAATCAAAACACTTTCCGACATCAAAATAAGACTAAGTAAAAATTGCAAATATTGTAATACTTCAAATAATAATGAACATTGGAAGACATGTTCATTAATGAAAAAATACATCAGAAACTGGAACTTCGAGGTTAATCACCTAGAAAAAACTAGAAAAATCCACAAATTTTTTCAACACTTGAAAAAGGTTCAAAGAAACCTCCCTTAACAAAGGGTCACCACAGCGGTGATAGCGCTCAAGCGCCGTTAAACTTTTATTTTGAGTCAGCAGATGGAGCGCAAAGTTGTTTTTGTTTATGATCTTAAGTTGAATTTTCTATCGTGCTCCTTAATTACCTAATTAACTACCTGTGATCTTGTAATTAATTGAAACCTCTCAACTAACATTGAAGCGAGTGCTAAGGTGATTCTCCTGGTACCTGGAACTCATCATGGATGTGAACTTACCTGACACTGAGCCTGTTTCTATTCCGAAGAGTAATTTCTATTCTGGTAATGGGCGAAACAGGCGAAAGAAACAGAAGAGGAAACGCTCTAGTGTATCGAAATCTTCTTGTTTCGATGATGTCTACAAGTTGACTGGTGAGATTCTCGGTGAAGGTGCCTATGCTCAAGTTCAATCTTGTAAACAATTAAGTACTGGTAAAATCTTTGCGGCTAAAATAATCGACAAACAAGCTCATCCAAGGTCAAGAGTCTTCCGTGAAATCGATATTTATTACCATTGTTCTGGACATAAAAATATTTTGCAATTGTTTGATTTCTTTGAAGAAGATGACAAGTAAGTAGAATTGACTTGATCCATTTAAATTTCCAAGATCGATGTTGCTGTTGGTGTTGTCACCCGTTAGAATCGTGTTGCCAAGGGACTAGAATTGATAAAGAGAAACTGATCTATATCTCCTGAGGGCCGTCGCTTTGACCCACTAAACCTCCTTGGGTAATCTCAGGGCTCTTTCCCAGGTCTCTTTCTGGTCCTTGCCAACTTTTCATTCCCCATTTAAACTCCTTTCCCTCAGTCTTTGTTTCCTTTCTTCTTCAGTGTCTACGTCTTTGGCAACGTCTTTGCTCCTCTTTCTTTCTTTTTTGTATCTTCTTTATCTTTTGTTTCTTTTATAATTTGGGTGTTTCACCATCTTACGTCTTCAACACCCTGGTCATCAGCATCAACATCATTATCTCTTGACCTCGATTCGTATCATCTTACGTTTTGCATATTCGTTTGAAAATTAATCATCAACATCAACTAATCTATTTTCCTTTTTTTCTAATTAGATTTTATTTGGTGTTCGAAAGACTTGCTGGTGGGCCTTTGTTAGCTCATATCCAAAAACGTAATCATTTTACCGAAAATGAAGCAAGTTTTATTATTCGTGATATTGCCAATGCTCTCAAGTTCCTTCATCAGAAAGGTATATCCCACCGAGATCTCAAACCAGAAAATATTCTGTGTCATAGTCAAGATCAAATTTGTCCCCTTAAAATTTGTGATTTTGACTTGGGCTCAGGTCTGGTCATCAACGAATCTTCGCCTGTCAGCACTCCTGAACTCTTGACACCAGTAAGTTTACCCTTTAGTTTCTATTGATGATGAAATACAAAATGAATCTTTCACTGTTCTTGAATTAACATAATAAGTGAAGCGTTAATTTGGTGTGTCGACTTACTCATTGTCACAGTTTATTTTTCTTTCTTTGTTGAGAAAAAAACAGTTTATATTTCTTGGATATTTAACTGTTATTTCTTTCCATCATTTTACTTTGACTGATTCAAAAAGCTTCAATTTCGCCTCAGGCTACTTTTTTCGAAAACCTTCTTTTACTTTATTAGTAAACCTCTTTTACCTTTTCCTTAATATTTTCCGTTTTAAGATTTTTTTATGTTCTTGAAGCTTAATGATTTTTATAACTTGAGAGTGACGATAATTATCAAGCGTTTACATAATCATAGTCTTTATACAATTGAAGCTATTCCAAGTATTATAATCTTGTTTTTTATTTACTCATGTAGGTTGGGTCTGCTGAATTCATGGCTCCTGAAGTCGTGGAGGCTTTCATCGGAGAGGCTACACCTTACGACAAGAGATGTGACCTCTGGAGTTTAGGTGTCATCATGTACATCTTATTATCCGGTTATCCGCCTTTTTATGGCTTCTGTGGTAGTGACTGTGGCTGGCAGAGAGGTGAATTTTGTCAAGCCTGCCAAGACCAACTATTTACCTGCATTCAAGACGGAACTTACGATTTTCCTTATCGAGATTGGGGATGCGTCTCGGACGAAGCCAAAGACCTCATAAGACATCTTTTGGTGAAAGATGTAAACCAAAGATACACCGCTGAGATGGTTTTAAACCATCCATGGGTACGCCATGGAGGACCCCTGACCCTCCTCAAAACACCTAAGGTGATAAGGCGAAACAACAGTGCCAAGGATCTGGCTGCATTCGCAGAGAGCGCCAATGCCATGAAAAGATTAGTCTTGCGACATCAAGCCTACAGCACAGATTTTTCCTTTGCAGTTAACTCTAAATTATCAGATCCTCTTGAAGAGAAAGAGGTTGCTAGTGGTAGTGGCTCATTATCCTCATCATCAACATCATCAGCACAACCAATTACATCAACCAACAATTCGAAGAAAGCAAATTCAGATGAAATAGACGGAGACTTACCTCCAACCCCTGATACCCCGGATTCACTTGGAAAAAACTCAACATGGATACCAGTATCGAAGAAAAGTCTTCCCAGTGCCTTTGTTTATAATTCTTGCATGAATCCAAAATCGCCCATGAATCGATTATCATTAACTCTTCACCCAAGCTTGAAACCCATTCTGCTTAACATTTAAATCAACAACAAAACTATCACAATGATGAATCCAAATCCTTTTCTCTTCAAACATTTCATCAACTTTTTTCCTTTATACAATTTAATTGGCAACAAAACCCTTCTACTATCCTAAATACTACCTCTTTCTTTCTCTTTCTCTCTCTTCTCTCTATTCATCTCTCTTCTCTTTTCTCTATCAGTCAATTTTATTTGAATATCCCCATTTTCTACCACATTCTTTTCGATGTTCTCAATTTTCATAGTCTCTTCACTACCATTTTTCTCACACTTTCACAACATTCAGGTCTTTTCTCTTCCCTTTTCATCATTTTTCTATCCTTTCGATTTCTCTCGATTCCACTCGATCTCTTTGTTTCCCTCTTTCCATCCCTTTCTCTTCATTTCTCTTCCTCTACCTCACTTTTCGTTATCCTTCCTTTCTATTTTGCTGTTAAAAATTAGGAGCATCTTGATTTACTCACCATTTAATACCATAATTTGTAATTTGATAGATTGTTTAATCATTGACACATTCCGACAATGATGATCACAATCATGAAGGAAAGTAACATCGGTTTCGTAGAAATGGATAAAATCATTTAAAAGCTGAACACAAAAATCAATTGGAATGTCTAAATGCTGTAGGCTTTAAAGTTCAATCATGGGTCTGGCCAATTCGTAAAGAAAAACCCACCAAAAAAATCTCTAAAATTAAATCTTTACCATCTAAAAAATAATATTTGTTAACAAAAAAAGATTATCATCGAGACATTATCTCAATTTTGACAAAATAAACGCAATAAGATTTTATAAATAAACAAATGTTCTTGGATATTATTTGTTTCATGATAACTGAACAAGATGCAGAACTAGTTCTTGATGTCAATGATTCTTGGAAAGGGTTTAGTCTCTCGATTAATCACTTGATGAATTGTTTTCTCTTTTTCTTGTCTCAGGCAAAAAGCCAAAGAGATGCAACCAATTCGATTGCATAATAGAGACGAAGAATTGTCCTGATTGAGATCTCAGTTAATTTGTTGAGCTCAATAAAAGACGAACAATTAATGGTAAATGTTACGTGATAATCATTATCGGCGCTTCGCTGGTTCAATGGATTCATTTTGTGTTAACTAATCAGGAAATTACCTTGATAGTAAAGTTAAATAACAATGATATCAAAAGGGAAAGTGTTGTTATTGTTAAATTATCATAATTAGCGGAAAATCATATGATTCAATTGAATTGACAGACAAAACAATCAATTATATTTGATCCTTTTTTGTCTCTATGTCATCACCTGTTCCGCGAGTTGTCATCTTACTATTGACCTACCAATCGATTAACGATTAGTCAAATAATTGGAAACTCGCAATTTTAACTTCGCCATATTTGATTACTAAGAATTAAAACAATTAATTATCTCGATATATTTGAATGAAACAGAAAATGATTTTTTCAAAATCTCGAAACTGTTGTTTCACTAGCGACATCTCGGGCCTAGAGAATAAACAATAATCAGTTTTACTTAATGACTTCGCCTTTTTAATCAACCTGAATCTATGAAATGATAACTTACTATAGCCCCTTGCGTAGCCCGCTCACTGGCAGGTATCTCCTACCTCTTCATTACTAATAAATTTCATTAACCAGAGCTTTTTTGATTAATTAGTTCGAAATTAAGGCTTTTCTACTAACATCTCAAGGTTTAAAGGTCATGGTCAAAGTCATTGGTATTTGATGACTTTTCGTAGGCAATACACCAAAGTTTTCTTTCGGGATTAAATTCATTTCCTTCTTCAGTCACACTCGAAAGAGAAATCAACAGACTCAGCTGAAAGTCGTGGACATGTTTCGGGACTAACGACCAAATAATCGGAAGCCAATCGTGCTATAAATAACTTGTACAATCTGTTCGGAGGCCATTTCGTGTCCAAATTAAGACCTTCGAACAGGTAAAATACTTACAACAATGTATCATACTTATCATTTGTATATAAATCAAAGCTTCAAATAAAACGACTAGACAAATATAATTTACAAAATATTGATTGTGATCATCAAATTGAAGTAATCAATTAATATATCGTTAAATCAGTTATTACAAATTGCATTTTAAATGATCATTTAATATAATCGTGCAACAATCAATCACCGCAAAGAAGTAATTTAAATGGATGAAAAAAAAATTACAATGTTGATCGAAAATTCAACTTTCATTTTCGACTAATTCAAACAACTTTGTAAAACTTTTGCATTCATAATCACTCATTCGATGATTTCGTTAAAGCGCCCGGAGGATTTTACAACAATGTTTCGTTACTATCAAATTGAGAATAGAACATTTTTTCTATACAAAGTATTTGCATTCGCAGTTGGACTACCCTACCATGATGATTACCATGTTGACTATACTCAGGCCTTGGATCGCTTTGAAAAGTTGTCCCTTAATATGCGAACCGTTCGTTATGGATTCTCATGCTTGGAACCCAATTTTCGGAGCCAAATTGATTCTAAAACTGACTATGTCAATATAGTCATTCGTATTTCTTGCATCACGACTTTCATTCGACTTCTTGTTTGGATTTTCTTTTCTGAGCCATTTCTCCACATCTATCTAGCTGACCCATGGGGCCACTACTCGCTTTCATGGGCAATCCATGCTTACGCAATGAGCTGTCTCTCTGTAATATTCTTTCTTCGTGAACTATTCATTGCAACCGAATCTCGAGGAGTAATCAATTTTTGGATGAACTTACTGAATGAATTGCGAAAAGATGAATATTCAGCCCAAAAGTACAATTTCTCAAAGAGATCACATATTAACTTTTTCTATGTCGTATCTACAGTGACCAGTAACTCAGCATATCGGCTAATGGTCTCACTGACCTTCATGCTGGTTATTTTTAATGGCTTCACATATTACCAATCACCTCTCCTTTTAACAAATAGATCATTTTTCTGGTCAACTATTTTCTGGTTCCCAACAATGACTATTACCTATGTTAGTTGTGGCACTTTTCTGATGTCCTACACTGGCTATTGCTTTCTTCTCATTTGGTCAGCTGTATTGAGACTCCATTCAATCAATTTCAAGCTGAAAACTTTACTAACTCATGTGCGAAATAATAAAAGTCGAGAATATCGTTTTCAAATTAGACAGATCATGATGTTTCTTAATCAACTTGAACAGCTTTCAGATGGTCACAAATGGTGTACATTTGTATTGGTCATATTTCTAAGTGGTATAAGTAACATGACCATTTATGCCGGACTAATTATCAGATCACATTCAGAATTCATAGCAGATTTAATTACGTTCTTTGGCTCATTACCTTTCATTTCACTTTGTTTTGCCATCTATCTCTGCGGTTGTGTTATGAGTATGGTGAGAAATCGAATAGTTATCAATATCAAAATATGAATAGATATCAAGTTAATCTACAATTAATCACATTTTTTTCAATCATCTAGTTAATGGAAATGACTTATCTATTACACATTAGCTGCAAAAAAGTCAATCAAACATTGGCAACCAAATTGAAGGTGAATCTTTTAATCTATTAATATTATCTAATAGTATTTTAATTTCTAATAGTTGCGCAAAGAGTACGTTTGATTTTACATTGTATCAACTTATTTACTTTAATCAGACTCATGAAACAATTGAGCGACTTGGTGGACCAACGGTGGGTGCTAAAGCGGGTGAAATGGCTGTGATTACTGTTGAGTTTTCACTGATTGTGAGTATTAATTGCAGCTAAATTTTATTTGATTTTAAATTTTTATAAACATTGATTGATTGATCATTTGATTTTGACAGTTCATACTTGAATTCATATCACAATTTATGTTACAATATTGCACCTTTCAATCGTATTTATAAATACTCCTCAAGTAATCATGTATTTTTGAAGTTATTGATGTGAATAAAAATGGCGAAACCGAAAAGAAAGATGTGAAAAAATTGCCTTGGACAGTGAAAACCCTTTACGAATTTCCAACTTTTGGATGAACCCTAATGCGGATACTTTGGTGCGGAGAAATTCATCGTGACCAAATTTTTCGAGCTGGACTACCAGCTAGAAGATTGAGCTTTTTGAACAATGAGCTAAAGTAGTAAATCACACGTTGGAACGTTGCAACCTAACGAGGTACCACCTCTGATTGAAGTTGGCAAAGTTGTTTTGAACAAGAGCTCGAACAATTAATTTGCTGAAGTTGAACAATCAGCCTAACAATCAGCTGAGGATTATGTGTAACATTGAATGTTTTGTTTCTGTTGAATATCAGCAACTAGTTATTAAGAACCAATTAGTTATTCAAATCTCAAATTAACTTGTATGATTTCCATCAAATTTTGACACTCTCATGATTTTGGCTCATCACCATTATTATTTAATTATTAATATTTTCATTCTATTTATAAGAAGACTAATAATCAAACATTTGCCAATCAATAATTATCGAAAAGTTTGTCCATAAAAGTTCAATCAATAAACAGGAAAACTTCATTTGCAAAAATATTATTTCCTAAAACTCATGGGAATTTTGATATTCTGATGAGAAAAAAACATGAATAACTAGTTGAGATAATTTGCGAATCAAACTTTGACACCTTAAAGAAGAATTAATCATCAAAAGGTGAGGAGCTTTTCTGCAAATGAATTTATTTTGATGATGAAAAAGCCTCAGGCAATTCATAGAAAAATCAAATCATATTCGTAGGAATAATCTACTGAAATATAATAGAATCATGAATTGAATAAACTACTCAAATGCACGTCTTAAATCACATAATCTCTAATTCAATGGATTCAGAATAATTCGAATCGCAATTTTGTCAATGCCCAAATCGAAAGTAAAACAAAAGAGATGAGAATTCGTTGAATCAGTTCAATAGCATTCGATGAATATCTTATTCACCTTATTGAAACAGTTAATTGAATACTAATGGAATGACTCAGATGATGCAGATATTATCTCATCAGATTATCATTACCATAATAATTTTTGCTTCTTATTCACATTATTTATTATTAAAGTTCCTTAAAGGTACAAAGAAACATGTTCACTGGGAAAGGAAAATAATTTCACTTTTTTCCTCTTTTATCTCCATGTAATCATGGCTGTTCTGAGGATTCTGATTCAGGTAATATTTCAGATCAACAAGTGCTGCCTCCATTTAGAAAGTTATTATTTTCTCATGCCAATTTTATTCATTTTCATTAATACATTTCATTTGTTCCAGAACAATTGTTGTGACAAAAAGTGTTGATAATTATCAGAATAGATTGAAATTAACTTTTTCATAGTAGAGACTTTCAAATCGATTCATTTGTTGTCCTGTCAACACCAATTCCACCAGTTTTAATTAACTTATCTCAGCGAAAATCATAAAACACTAATCAATCCGATGATGTCTGATGAACCTGCGAACATTGGCCCAATCGAAGCTCCTTCATCGCCTCCAGCTAAAAAGTGTGGGGTCTCAGGCGACAGTGTTACATCAACTGATACACTTCCTCTTCCTTTATTTGAAAAAGATGTAAAGTAAGTTAATTATTCTTGTTTTGATATTCATTTACATTGTCACCAATTAACTGGAACATTTTATTCAGTTATTAAACTTTGATTATTTCAATTTCAACTTTCATCCTTTCGCTTATCATTACAACTTTTTGTCAATTAAAAACCTCCGAGTCATTTCCGTTTCTGGGTGAGAAAATCACAAATCAAAAGACTAATTAACGGAAATAAGTGATTACTTGTCGAGTTAATCATTCTTGTAAAATAATCGATTTTCACCTTTTCTTTGATCGATAATTTATGTTGAATTTTTACAAAGTCAAACTTAATTAACTCCACTGATTTTTCAATTATTTACTTAGGAAAATGTTGCAAAGAAACAGTTTCATCTCGACTGTTGATTGGATTGAATGTTGTAGATTTTGTTACATTCATAACTCTCATTGATTTAATATATCGTTTCATATCAGTTAAGCGTTAATGTTTTAATTAGATGCTATCAATTAATTAAAACCATTTAATGATGAATTTGCTCATGATCATAAGGCTAATTAATTCCAAGCGTAATCACTCTTGCGAACTGATGTAAAATATATTAAATTAATTTGGAAATTGATCAATATACTGAGATAGAAAGTTGGTTCAAATTTACGATTGAGTGGTCATTATTTTCTGAAAAAGTTCATGTTGGAAGCCATTTAATAAATTCTTCAAGTTTCATTTGTTCCTATCGCGAAAAGTACAATACCTCATATGGAATAGATTCTCAGAAGTTCATGAAGCCATGAAAAGGTGTATTCTTCAATGAACAAAAGAAAACTACTCTTAGTTGATACGATTCTCGAATATCATGATACCTGTTACTCTGAATCGTGACTTGTTATTCATCTATTCATATTTCTTCATTCATTTCACATGAATTTTTTATGCATGAATATCAAACGACAGTCAACAGGGTGAGTCAAGAGACTCTGAGTAATGAAAAAATAAAGATAGCATTCATTGTGAATGACATTTTTACCAGAATTTTCTGAGTCTCCAGAACCAACATTTCTATTTGAATATTTATAAAATATTAATTAGGTAATTATAACTGATGAGACTCTAAAAACCCACAAAATAAATATTTGAGAATGAAAAACATAAAAAAATCACATCTGAAAAAAAGATTTTGACCTCAATCGCTCTTTTGGTTTTCTTTCAATCGCAAAGGTCACGACAATTGATCAAAGACGCTTTACTCAATAACAGTTTTTTACAAAATTCGCTGGATGGTTTTCAATTGAGCCTCATTGTCGATGCGATGTACGAGAAAAACTATGATGAGCTCGATTTACTTTGCGAACAAGGAGCTTTTGGTACACATCTTTTCGTCACTGCGAGTGGTACTTTTCAGGTTATCACGAATGGTCAACCAGTCAAAACACTAGGATCTGGCAAAGTTATCGGTGAATTGTCCATACTTTATAACTGCGTTCGAACAGCTTCTGTGCAAGGTAAGGAATAAGATTCGTGAATCGATCATTGAGCAGATTGAGACTGAATGTAAGGAAAGTTCAATTCGACTTAGAAAAAGATTGCATGATGGTTTTGGGTATAATTTGATTCCAAGAGATTATAATTTAATTGTCATTATTGATCGATAGTTTAATTGTTTTAATGGCAAACCATTGATTCAAATCGGTTCTCTGATTATTTTTATTTTCTACCTCATTGTTTGCTCATCAAATTCTAGTCAAAATGTTGAGTCTTTTTTATTTATTCTTGTTACATGTAATTTATATTCTCGCTACTCAATTCAATTTCTCTTTAGCGCTCACCAAAGTTCGTGTTTGGGTATTGGATCGGAAGATTTTCCAAGCGATCATGATCAATACGAGTAACAATAAGCGTCAAAGGTACAGAGCGTTTTTGAAAAGGTAAGTTTGTTTTCGAACTTTAATTAGATAAACAAATGGTAGATGGCAGCACAGATTTAAGAATCTGGAAAAGTTCTAATGATCTAAAGACTTAAATTTGTGTATGAAGGGGATAGAAAATTAGTATTGGGGTATCAATAAGTTCTGTCGTTTTTGACTCTTTAGTTTATTCAATTATTTTTCGAAATAGTGTTGAGATGTTAATTTAATTTTTCGGCCGAAAAGTTCAAAATTTAAATTGTGTCATTTTTTCGGAAAAAACTCAAGGAAACTTTCTTTTTACCATTGGGCCAATGATGATTTTTCTCTAGGATTCAAATTTTCTAAGCAAATGATCAAATTTAAATTTTGAATTTCCGATGGTCATTCAGCCAAAGACTTTGAGTTTGACACTTTTTAAAGACTTCACGCATTTGAATACAATCAATGAGAGATACAGTTAACCCAGAGATACGATAATAAGTAATGTCCACTCATTTAACTGATGTAGTCTTAAAATGGTCAACTAATTAGCTATCAAAAGTTATTGTTACTTGATTATCATTAACTGCGCGAATGATTGCGAAAGTGGTTGCAAACTCAAAGTCTTCTACTACTTAATTTTTGGTTTTTATTAACAACAATTGGAGAAAAGTTAACTAACAAGTAAGTTTACTCTCAGTTAATCTATAATAATACTCAAACATTGATGTGGATTTTTATCGGTTAAAAATTTGAACTCAAATCACTTACAATTTTCGAGCAACAGTCAGTAAAGCTGAGAAACGGCAGAACTTATCGATAGCCCTAATAATTAATGAGCTAATATAAATTCTAAAGCTGCTATCAGAGCAATCGAATTGCTGCCAATCAACTGAAACATTTTATTGTTAATCCAAGTCTTCCAATTCGATGGAAGTTTATCAATGAACGAAATTGTACCGATTCTTAAATCCCTGTGGTCAGACTGAGAATTTGGGGAAGGAAATTGAACAAATAAGAGTAAAAAAACAACATTTCTTCAATTTGTTTCTCTTGTTATTTACACTTTACTACAAAAGCAATAACTTGTCATCAAATAAGAATGATGAGTAAGACGCAATTGAAATCTCACGAAAGAGTTGAAATAAATGGAAGAACATCTTATTTAGAAGAAAAGAAAAATGTAGAAAGACAAAAGATAAGAGAATAAAAACGAAAAATATAAACTTAACAAGGAAAAGGAAATTCATATAAATGGAAAAGCTTCTCAAGAGTTGAGATAATTTCATCTCATAGATGAATGATTTTGGAGAAAGTTTAATGTGAACTTTGATTTGTAATAAGATGAAGTAACTTATTTACTCTTCGATTGATTACTGTAAGTATCGAAAGTACAATTCACGAAATAATATCAATGATAAATTTTTCATCATTTTATCAGAATAAGTAACAGGAAAAGTAGAAATATTTTCGATTTCATTGGAAAAAGTAACATGATAACACAATCGATCCATTTATCTGTTGTTTACATTTCTTATTATTGACCAAGTGATCACCTTGACACTTACATTTAAAGTTATCATAAAGATAATGAAATATCATATTTTTCACCAGCAATACTGATCGGATATCCAATATAACATCAAGTTCGGAATGTTTTCCTTTCAATAGTTAATTCGATACAAATTTTTATCTGATAGTGATATTGATATTGTGCTCTTCAATTCGAAAAATAATAGAAAGAAAGTAATCATTCCCCTTCCACTAACCTTACATGAAACATGACTTCTTACATCCCTATTATCTTATCAACATCGTTACGGTTATCAACAATATATCATTATTTATCCTTCTAACAACGATAATAATATCTTCGAGTTGGAAGTTATTTCACGAGAATGAGAAAAAGATTTAAACGAGCAAGAGATAAATGGCTAAGAAGATGAGAATCTTTTACTCGTATTGAGTTTTGTTTAGTCACAAATAGATTATCATGAAATGCTAGAGAAAAAAAACAAAACATCTAATGATTTTTTAATGATAAAACAATTTAAATACTTATCATTACACATAAAGAACAGAGAGAGAGAGAGAGAGAGAAACTTTTTGTTCTTAATTCATAATAAATATTTCACGGTCTTTCTCATAGTTTTCCATGCCAATCTGGCGACCGAAAAATTTTGAATTCTCTCTGTTTTTGAATAATTTAGAAGATCATTATTATTATTATGGTGAAAAGTTAATTAATTTTGTTTAGAACTCAATTTTTTCAGGTAAAATTTTGACAAGTTCACATGATTTATTGTTATCAGATTAGTTTTTTTCATATAACAATTTATTTGTTATGATGATCGTAATTATTAAAATGAATAGAATTTATTAAAATAACATTTATTCTACAACATCTATTTCACAGATTTTTGTTCACATGATTAGGTTTAATTCATGATGAATATCGATCGAAATAATATTAAAAAATCATGAGTAAAAAAATCATTGTAATTGGCAATTAATTTCAAAGGAGGATCTCCCATTTTTTAACTTTTTTATCCTTTTTAGTTAAGAACTAAACTTTTTTCAGTAACAGAGTTTTACATAGGCTATTCAAAATTATTTAGACATCGGTTTTTATTTTTGAACTCAAAAACGGGAGATATTTAAGGCCAAAAAGCGCAACTTCGCTATATTGTAGTGAACTGGGGATTTTTCAGATCACTACGATATTCCTGATATTCTAGATAAACCTGTATAAGGCCTATCGATCGATATACTTTAAATTAGTTTGTGATCAACAGTTTCGGTACTATTTATACCGTAAAAAAATCGGCCCGCGATCGTTGAAAACTGATCTCAGGCCAATGAAACATTTTATTTAACATACTCTAATATGGGTCTTCAAAAGTGATATGAAATATTTCCGATATCTATCATATTATAGAAAAAGTTTTTAAACGATCCAAGGCTCAAAATACATGTAAAATCCCATAGACAAATTCTAAACATGGACGAACTTTGCTTTTCGAATTCTGATAGATTACTTATGATATCAAAACACTATAAAAATGAGTTTTGAATTTTACTTTGCTCAAAATAATGATTTAAAAGCGTTTTTTCTGGAATATCTGTTAAATGAGCTACAGAAGTTGAAAAGATAAAGTTTCGATGATAGAACTAGTAGAAATGATATTCAACAATCAGGTTGTATGTTTTCATAATCTATATCATGTTTAATATTGAACAAACTTTCAAAAATGATTTAAATGGGGCTTTCAAGAGTTTTGCATATAAGGAAAGAGCTTCAGCCAGAAATTCACAGAAATAATTCCAATACGAAATTATCACTGAATATGAATTCCAATTAAACACTTCCTTGGAAATAATAACCAATCGATGCTGAAAAGGAATTAATTAATTAACTAAATTTAAACAAGCAATTTAATCTTTATTAATTACAAATTAAAACAAATTAAATTAATCATCAACATGATTATAATCAACCATCACCATCATTAACTAATCACCAACTGACTGTTGTTGTTGTTGTTGTTGTTGATTATCATCAACAATTCAATCATCATCATCATCAACAATTAATGTTGATCAACAAAATTAATTTTGTTAGCCTGTTGTTGTTGTGGTTGATCAACATCAACAATGACTATAAATGTTTGTCAACAATTAGCTAATTAGTTGTAGGTTGAGAGAGAGAGAAATTAAATCAAAAAAGAAAGAGGAAAGAAAGAGGAAAAGAAAGAGAAAAGAAAACAAGAGAAAGAGGAGAGAAAGAGAACTTAAAATCCCTTTTGTTTTCTTTCTCTAAAATGTAATTTACATTACATCCCCACCCTCATGATTAAACGAAGGGGTTTGGAATGATAATTCAGGTTATATTTCTGGATATTGGCAGCAAATGTTTGGAGTGAATTTGTTCAGACTGGAATGGTGATTCCGAAAAGCAATATCATAAATATTGGTAGCAATTTTCCTGATAATTCGGAAAGGTCCACAGCTATTTTGATCAAATTTCCTTTTATTGATCCCAGCTCGATTTTTGATATAAACCATTTCGTTTTCAGCAAATTTATAATCATCATGTTTGCGATTATAAATCTCAGCATTTGTTTTATGATTCTCGATAGAATTTTGGCAAGCTTGAGAACGGGCTTCAGCTAATTCGGGGAATTGAATATCAGCACAATTCCTAGGTTTACTTCCATTAAATAAATAAAATGGAGTAAACTGAGTAACAGCATGAGGAGTATGATTGTACTCGAAGATAGTACGTTGCAAATACTTTACCCATCCATATCGATAATTATTTGAGATCATTTTGATCCTTATCCGATCAATGAGTGTGTTACCAACACGTTCACAAAGTCCGTTGCATTGTGGTGATGATTTGGGAATGAAATTAATTTTAATTTCCATTCGGTCCAAATATTCAGCAAATTCATTGGATGTGATAGCGGTGAATTTATCAGCTAATATGGTTTCAGGTTTACCATCAGCGGTCACTTTGTTAATTAGTGCAACAAATTCAGCAGCAGTTTGGTGGTTTGAGGCAATAGCCCAAACAAACCGGGTGAAATGGTCAACAGCAAAGTGAATGTAGCGTTTCTTGGATCCATATCGATCCAATCCACAAATAGTATCAATAGCGATTATTTGGAATGGACGTTCAGCAGGACCAAAATGTCCCATTTCAGCAATTAGCTTTGATCTCCGTGTCTTACCCAATTGACATGGATTACAGTTCTTAACAAAATTAACTACATCCTCAGTTAATTTTGTCCATGTATATTTCCAGCTGATAATTGTGATCATTTTCCTTATATCAACATGACCAAATTGTGGGGAACAGCGTCCATTAGCTTGTACCTCAAGGTTTCAGGTAGAATCACCTTCCTGTTACCATTTTTATCAACCTTGTAATAGAGTCCAGCTTCATCAGCGAGTTGTAAATCAATATCATTGATTTTAGATTGTTCAGCTTTAATTTCATCAGCATTAATGAAATTTACCAGTTTAAATGGGTAAGC